GATTTAGTTTAGCTGAAACATCTGACTAGGAAATTGACTTTTATGTAACAAAAAGTTCATTCTCATAGAAACAGAGATTATTGAAACATGAAATAATAAAAAAGGAAGTGGTGAAAGTACAAGGATTAGTAAGACACTACACCCAGTACAAATGCAGCTATTCAAAAAATTCACACAGGGGGAAACATTCTCTAATAGTGGCTATTCATATATTAGGTATTTAATGATCTATTACACACTGATCCAATAAGATATTTGCATAGTATTTAAAGGTCTGCAAGATCGACATCACAAAAAAGACATCACAAAAATTTATTTTACACTTTTCATTCATGTCTAACATAAAAACCATTTCCTATAAATTGGAAGCTACTCTAAACACCAAGATGTATTTGATGTACAATTTAATTTCAGTACCAGTCCATTTCACAATGTTATGCATAGAATAGCAGGTGTAGCTTTAAAAGCATTAAACTTTCATTCTGAACAACTGAGTGCTTTATTGTGATTCTTCATGTAAAATTTGTTGATCTCTTTCAACTTTCATAAGACAAAAATTTAAAAAAAGTGCACAAAAACTTAAAATTAAAATCAGAACAAAAAACCACTTGGTACACAAGTCGCCGTAACAGTTATTTGAACCAGATGGAGTATAAGCTTCATAATTCAAAGCAAAAAGCTTTTGAAATAAAACTATTCCAATGGCATGACTTGCGTAACCTAGACCATAATTTTGTCCAGAGTATCTTAGACCAAAAAAATTTATAAGAATGACGCTTATTTGTACATAGATGGTGCCATATGCTAGTGCTCCAATTACGGAAGCACAGATAAGACCTATCAAACTTTGATTAAAAAATATGAAGATGATTTCGCTTATACACGTGAGTATGACAGAGAATAAAAGAATTGATGACTTCGGAATGACTGGCCATTTCTGAAAAATATAATCTGGTATCACTCCACCAAATATAAGACCAACTGCTGTAAAAATTGGTATTACAACTGTAAATATTGTTGAATGTTCTTCAGTTTGAGCAGATTTTAATACAATTGTTATATTATTTGTAAATGTACCTCCAAAGCCTCCAATAATCATGAAAATTAAACAAATGAAGTAGAACTGAGGTGTCTTCATCATTTGCCACCATCTCATATCCAACTGGGGATGTTTCGTAACTGTCTCTCCTGTTGTATCGTTTGGTTTATTTACTCCAGTGCAATTTTCATCATTTCTTTCACACGTATCATCATCTACCATTGGTTCAATATCATCATATTCCATTTCCTCTGGAACTGTTCTTAGCATCGTAATACCATATAAATTTATACATGCTGATAATATAGCAAGCATAACCATGAAATCTCCCAACTTTTGATTTTCCGCATCTTCAATATGCCCTTGTACAAACATTGCCCCATAGAGGGCACTAAATACCGCAGGACTTATCCCATATATGCCATTAAGGATGCCAAGAACCATGCCTGTATGTTGTCTCTTAAAGTTCTTGCAATTAACTACCAACGATGCTATGTTCATAAACATTGTTCCAACTGATGCGATAAAGTAAAATATGCATAAAAGCCAGGTTTTTGAGTTGAAGAACATCCTGAATGTTGTCGCGGTCCACATAAGTGCAAATCCGGAGCTAGTTAGAATAAGCGAAATGGTACACGTTACCACAGGACCAAACCTGTCAAAGATGATACCTGCCAAAAATGATAATGATAGTCCTAAATTTCCACTGGATGCTACATTTTCTAGTTCACTTTGAGTATAGTTAAAGGTCTCCTTCAGTGAAATTGCATATGCGTTGAATCCGAAGACAATTCCGCCCATAAACCATCCAAGTATCCCAACACTCAAAGAAATGTATTTACGCAGCTGTCGGCTTTTTAATGAATTCATATTTGACGGCAGAATCAGTTTATATTTCATCATTTAAATTTTTGATACTCTCATAAGTTAAAAGTTCTGGCACTTGTTTAATCTTAGACCTGGTCTGCTTTTTGGGTTCTATTTCAGATTAATGAGCATACATTAATGAAATATATATCAATGGAAGATTTCTCACTTCTCATTGGCTTAGAACTGATCACATGATGCAACAGTTGACTTTGTATTATGTATTATTTAATACAATATTAATCTGTATTAATATAACCCCTATGGCCCCTATTGCAGTGGCAATTAATTAGATTTTGTTTGACTAACATGTGTATAACACTAACACACTACGCTCTATTCAACAGTTTGCTCTCTCAATAGGAGATAATCCTTTAATCTTACCTTAGATATCCAGGGTTCCAATTTTGGAACTGTTGGAACTTACAACTGGTTGCAAGTCATTGTTCATCGAAAAGAAGACAATGGTTTTCTTGGAATTGTAAGTTACAGTCTTACAAAAAATGAACTACAAGTTTAGAATTCAGCTACCCATTCAAACAGGGGTTCTCGAATTAGCCATGTATTTACTGATCCATAAGTAACACCAATAGTACCAAGCGTAGACATCTATTTAATGATCCATAAGTTACACCAATAGTACCAATAGTAGACATGTATTTAATGATCCATAAGTTACACCAATCTAATAGTACCAATAGTAGACATGTATTTAATGATCCATAAGTTACACCAATAGTACCAATAGTAGACATGTATTTAATGATCCATAAGTTACACCAATAGTACCAATAGTAGACATGTATTTAATGATCCATAAGTTACACCAATCTAATAGTACCAATAGTAGACATGTATTTAATGATCCATAAGTTACACCAATCTAATAGTACCAATAGTAGACATGTATTTAATGATCCATAAGTTACACCAATAGTACCAATAGTAGACATGTATTTAATGATCCATAAGTTACACCAATAGTACCAATAGCAGACATGTATTTATTGCTCCATAAGTTACACCAATCCATAGTACCAATAGTAGACATGTATTTAATGATCCATTAGTTACACCAATAGTACCAATAGTAGACATGTATTTTATGATCCATAAGTTACACCAATAGTACCAATAATAGTAGACATGTATTTAATGATCCATAAGTTACACCAATAGTACCAATCGTAGACATGTATTTTATGATCCATAACTTACACCAATAGCACCAATCGTAGACATGTATTTTATGATCCATAAGTTACACCAATAGTACCAATAGTAGATATGTATTTTATGATCCATAAGTTACACCAATCCAATAGTACCAATAGTAGACATGTATTTAATGATCCATAAGTTACACCAATAGTACCAATAATAGACATATATTTAATGATCGCCAATAGTACCAATAGTAGACATGTATTTAATGATCCATAAGTTACACCAATAGTACCAATAATAGACATATATTTAATGATCGCCAATAGTACCAATAGCAGACATGTATTTTATGATCCATAAGTTACACCAATCCAATAGTACCAATAGTAGACATGTATTTAATGATCCATAAGTTACACCAATAGTACCAATAGTAGACATGTATTTAATGATCCATAAGTTACACCAAAAGTACCAAGCGTAGACATCTATTTAATGATCCATAAGTTACACCAATAGTAGACATGTATTTAATGATCCATAACTTACACCAATAGTACCAATATTATACCAAAAGTGGACATTTATAAATGTTTTTAATGATCCATAAGACATATGAAGCCCAGAGGTTTATGAACATATACATGTATCTAATAATCTGCAAAGTCACCAGTTCATATTCATTTTATTTGTCTTTAACCCAACAATAATATATATAAAAAAATTCTTTCCATCCATAAGAGTCCCCATCCAAACCATTCACCATTTCATACACATACTATTTATGAAAAGCTTATGTATACCTTTTTATTTGGAGTATTAAGTGTTCCATTCAATTTCAGTTCCATCCCCTTTTTAGACTAAGTGCATATAGTAACATTAAAGGAATATTCCTTGCCAACCCATCTCTCTCCTCATATGGTAGCTATAACCATATATATGCTTGCCATGTTTAGCAAAACACGCAAAAATGTTTTGATATGGTCAAATTTGATCACTTTGAAATGTGATGCTCAATTCCAGTAAGCTGTCATCTTTTAAAATTTCACACAGGAAGTGATGTCATCGACTCTCAACTTTGCATATAGCATTAGGTGAGGAGCTATTAAGAATTACAAAACCAGCTTAATATTCTTTTTCAACTTTGTATCTTATTTAATCCTTCTGAAAATCTCTTCTTTTATTCTAAGTTGACAAGCCCTGAAAATATTTTTGCACAGAAAGTAATGATCACTTGTCTAGAAGTGATTTTGTGCTACTTTCCTATACTGTTCTGGGCAAGGTTATAGAAGTTGAGAGTTGATGACATCACTTCCTGCAAGAAATCTTAAAAGATGGCAGCTCACTGGAAATAAGCACTACATTTTTAAATGATCAATATTGACCATATTAAAACATTTTCCCATGTTTTGCTAAATATGGAAACTATATATATGATTATAGCTACCATATCAAGAGAGAAAGGGTCTGGCAAGGAATATTCCTTTAAATTAACAAAATTTGTAAGTATATTTTTAAGTACATGATATAATATTTTCTTATTGATTTTCTTATTTGTGTAAAATTCATAATAAAAGTGCTTGTTGAAAAAATTAATTTAAATAAAAGTTACATTTAAATTTAAAAAAAATATATATTAGAAAATACTATATAAAAAATAAAACAATGAATACCATGCCTGTTTCTACAAGTTGCTATGGCATCAATGTTTCCTTGGTAACAATATACTACCATACCACAATAAAATATATTTCACAATGTGCCATGGACAAATAAAATTAAATTAAGGCAACCATATGTTCCATTTAACAAGTCAGTTACCATAATATGAAATTATACATATTACCATGGTAACCACTCAATGTGTCATTGGTAACAACAGGTTGCCATGGTGACACAAAACAAAAATCTAAAATACAACACTTACATGCACTTGTGGTTCAATGTCAGGTTGTTCCTGTCCCTACAACATAATACCATAGAAATTAACAAAAAATAAAATACAGTAAAACCTGTGTAATCTGAACATGTCAGGGAAAATAAAATGCAGTTATACTTAACATGACTGGGAAAATAAAATGCAGTAAAGCCTGTGTAATCTTAATACATAACTGGGAAAATAAAATACAGTATAATCACACTGGAATAGCCTGACAATGGTAAAGTCAGATACCGTTGTCACAAATGACGGTATCTGACTTTACCGTTGTCAGGCTATTCCGGTGTGATAATACCTGCGTAATCTGAACATGACTAGAAAAATAAAATACAGTAAAACCTGTGTAATCAGAGCATGACTTGGAAAATAAAATACAGTATTGACTATAAGATTTTATAAATATGTTTTATACAATAAAGTTTTATAAACATGTATTAATCAATAGGATTTTGGACCAAGAAAAAGTGTTCACATTCAATTTGAGAAGTGTTTGGATTAGACAGGTTTCATTGTATACATTTGGTACATGTACGAGGGGTGATCAATAAGTAATGGACGCTTTTATTGAGCACCCCTTGTATATCATACATGCATAAAAAATAATAAACAATAATGTATCATAATGGCAGTAAGTATATGAGACAATAAAATAAATAAAAAACAAAGTAATTGAAAGATGAAAAAAGAAACTTAAAGGGATTCAGTCTCTAACTCTTGACCACAAATATTTTTTAACGTGACAAATAAAAATGACAGAATAACACCACCTTAGTTATTGTTATTAAGTTACTTTGTTGCAACCATCTACTGAAGATTGCCAAAACAAACATTAATTTCAAATGCTGGTCACAAAATATAGTGACTGTTATAAAACACAGTATATGCTCTACTTTGTTAACTCAGTTATAATTGTATCGTATTGTATATCATTACTACCCATAATATAATATGAAAATGAGAAATTTTACCAGTAAATTTTCTATTAATTACAATACAAACCTATTCCATGACATATGACATATGCTTACTCCCCTTATTTGGAGTAATTGGCAAGTCTAAAAAAACACCCCTTTATAAAAAAGTGGACTGGCCCAAGTGGCCAATATCGATCCCCAACTCATTATGTATTCATATTTAATACGCTAACAAAATAAATAAATAACCTCCATTTTCCCAAAGGCGGGGAGGCTGGGTGGGCCTCTGGTCATGGAATAGGTTTGTATTGTAATTAATAGAAAATTTACTGGTAAAATTTCTCAATTACATACAATCCAACCTATTCCATGACATATGCTGAATAAAAAGTTAAGGAGGTGGGGACCTCGTTACTAAAAGTACAAAAGAACTATATTACCATCCTAATGAGATGTCACCCAAAGAATAGTACATGTACCATTACCCCCATCTGCTAGTTGGATCCAAGACGGAGGCTGTTACATGTCCAACTGGAGACTGTTATGTCCTATCAGAGTGAGCAGTCTTAGCCATTTAAGGGTAATGACCAACTCCTATGAATAGAGACTGGTTAACCAAGAAAGGGCCGTTTAAACCAAACGAGGTAACCGTTGCAGTTCTTCAAGGGTCCAGGTCACAAGCTAGTTGAGTTGAACCCTTCTGCAAAACAGTCGAGGCCAAGCTTCCCACGTGAATCCATCTGCAGATATAGAGTGAGTGAAGAAACACTTACGTCTAAAAGTTGCAGAGAGTGCCAGCTAGTACCACCGGGCCCAGCTTGTGCATGCCTTTCTCCATTACTGTCACATCTCTGAGGTAGTAACTTGTGAAGGTGTTGTGGGATGCCCATGAACAGGTCTTGAAGAGTGCTGTTAATGAGGCATTGGCTTGTAGAGCTAGTGAGGAAGATATGGCTCTTGTCTCGTGTGGTCGTATCTTCCCTTGTAACTTGCTTTCTTCTGAGGCATTCTTGTAAACATAGTTCAACAGTTGTTTCACCCAACTAGAGAGAGTGTTAGGGTGTACATCAGAACTGCATCCTTTCTTGAAGGGGATGAAAAGTCTATTTCTGGATCCTCTGATAGGAACTGTGGCTTGAAGATAATATCTTAGGGCCCTCACAGGACATAAGAATTTATCTGGCGTTTCATTTCCAACGAAATTAGCTAGAGCCTTGATGGTGATTGGTTGGAATCTGGACTGTCCTTCTGCGCAATTCAATGATTTCGGCAGGAAACCAACAAAAGGGAAAAGTACCGCTTCCAAGTTGTTTCTAGTCCATTGTATACGCCTAATGTCTATGGCATGGATGTCAGAACGTCTTTTCCCTGAAGCTAACAGTAGAAGGAAAAGTGTCTTCCACGATACGTGTTTGAGATCAGCTGTCGACATTGGTTCGAAGGGAGGTTTGGTTAACTCGTGTAGTACAAACACTAGATCCCACTTAGGAATCAGATCTTTAGGCTGAGCATCTTCTAATTTGAAAGAATGGATCAGATCAGAGATTTCTTGAGTCGACGAGAGTGATGTGCCACTTGATTGTTGAAGGACTTGATTGATGACAGTTCTATAACCTTCAATGGTACTCACTGTTAACTTCTTTACTGAATGAAGATAAAGTAAGAAGTCAGCTATTTCTGGAACAGAGACTGTGCAGGGATCCAGATTCCTCTCAGAACACCAAATAGAGAACTTCTTCCATTTGGCATCATAGACTCTGTTGGTGGAAGGTCTTCTAGCATCTGATGCGATTCTTTTTGACACTTGTGTTGAAAAACCCTTCTGAGTGAGAGATTTCGTGAGAGTTTGCAAGCGTGAAGATGGAAAAGTTCTGGATTTTGATGGAAGATCTGACTTCTTGGCATTTTGAGAAGTTTCTCCCATGGGGGAATTTCCCTTGGATAGTCCACTAGAAGATCCAATAGTTCTGGGAACCACGGCTGATTCTGCCATTTTGGAAGGATTGCTAGAGCTAAACAGTCGTGATCCTTTATCTTTTGTAGAACTAATCCTATCACTGGCGTGGGGGGATAGATGTACAGATGAAGATTTTGCCAGCTTAGGGATAGAGCGTCTGTTGCCCAAGCTGCTTGATCTTGTATTGGTGAGACATACACTGGTAGTTGGTTGTTGTAGCATGTCGCCATCATGTCTAGATTTGGAGTTCCCCATATCTTGAACATCTGTTTGACAACTGCTGGATGTAAGGACCATTCTGTCGCAACTATCTGGTTTCCCCGGCTCAACAGATCTGCTCTTCGATTCAGTCGACCTGGCACATGTCTTGCGCGAAGACGGACTTGATGTAAATCGGCCCATAACCATATCTGTCGAGATAACTCTGTCAGTTTTGCTGACTGTGTTCCCCCTTGTTTGTTGAGGTAGGTTGTCGCAGTTGTGTTGTCTGCACAAATTAACACCATCTTTCCTTGGAGGTGAGTCTGAAAGTATTGAAGGGCTTTCTGAATGGCTTTTAGTTCCAGCCAGTTTATGTGGTTGTTGGATTCTGATTGGGACCAGTTTCCACAGCACTCTTTCGATATGTTCCGATCCATGTGAGCACCCCACATCGCTGTTGAAGCATCTGTGAATATTGTCACTTCTGGTGAAAATGGAGCTAAAGTCATCCCTTTCTCCAGATGCTGGCCTTGATTCCACCACAACAGGTCCAATCTTGCAGTACGATCTACTGTTATCATCTTGTCCAATGGATCTCTGAGTTGAGACCAATTCTGAGACAGGCATTGTTGGAGGAACCTCATGTGTAATCTCCCCAGTGGGACTTGTTTCTCTGCTGATGCCAGTAATCCCAGAAGAGACATCCACTGCTTGGCTGTTGCTCGACTTTCTGTGAGGAACCAGTCTGTTAGGTGTAGAATTTTGTCTATTCTGTCCTGGGGGGGATAGGACATCCCTAGATGAAGGTCCCACCGTACACCTACATAGTCGAAGATCTGCAACGGAATCAACTGCGATTTCTTGTGATTGATGATGAAGCCAAGGTTTTCCGTCACCGTCATCACAATCCATAGGTGATCTGAGACTTCCTGTGGCGATGCTCCTCGGATTAACCAATCGTCTAAATACCGGTGGAGTTTTATCCCGAGCTTGTGGAAGAACGAGGCTAGGGGTTCCAGGATCTTGGTGAATATCATCGGTGCTGTTGCCAGACCGAAAGGCAGGACTCGAAATTGCAGAATTTTTCCGTTGACGACAAAACGGAGATACTTCCGGAAGTTCTCTTTCATCATTATATGAAGATAAGCATCCCGAAGGTCCAAGGATACTGCCCATTCGCCTTGTTGGAAGGAGGTCATGTACTGCTGTACTGTTTCCATTTTGAATTTGGGAACTATTAAGACTTGATTTAAAGTTCTCAAATTGATGACGGGTCTGTCTTCTCCATTCTTCTTCTTGACCAAGAATAGATTGCTGTAAAACCCTGGGGAATGTCTGTTTAGAACTTCTTCTACAGCATTCTTTTGCAGAAGGTCCTCTACCACTCTGCTGAAACGAGCTGCTTTGCTCGATGTTGAAGACTCGAACTGGTTTGGTTCGGTGCATAACGTCACAGTTGAATTCATCTGTGGGATGTATCCTACCTGGATCATCTTCAGTATAAACGGATCTTCCGTTAACAGCTTCCAATTCGGAAGGAAAAACATCAATCTTCCCCCTACAGGTCCTGGAAATGGAGGAATTGTGAAGATTGGGATCATAGAATGGTCACTTCTTGGAGAATCTGTTGTCTTTGTTGAAGTGCTTACCACCTTTATTGTCGTATTTCTTCTTGGAATCACGAAAATCTGACTTGGGTTTGTCTTGTGATTTGGACCAATCTTTGTTAGAAGATTTCTTCCTGTAGTCAGACCTGGATTGGCGTTGGGACCTGTCTTTGTCTTTACTAGATCTAGAACTGGACTGGGCCAAGGTAACTAGTGCTTGGTTTGTCAGATTTGAGGAGGCTGAGTCAACCAAATCTTTAAGTTGTGACTCTGGATACAAAGTGGTAGATGTATGCTCAACTGGTAGTACCCTCATAGATTCGCGGAAGCGTGTTGGTACTTGTTCTTGAATCAGATCACGTTGAAGTAATGCTGAGTTGGTGAGAGTCTTGAGAATACCTTCAGTAGCAGTAACAGAGGCTGTCGAACCCCTAAGGAGTAAATCGCCCATGGAATCTAACAACTGGGTAACTAGTGGATCCGTGTTGTTGGATAAGTGTGCTGTGAGTTGGGTAACTAACTTTGAAACAGAACCTATATACCACTCTGAGTACACCAAAGGTTGAAGGACAGCCCTCAAGTTCTCTTCGAGACCCTTCCAGTTTTTATTGGAGAGTTGAGTTTTAGTATCAGCATTCTTGAAGAAATCACTGAAGGTTTTATCATTTGGGACTAAGTTTCCAAGTGAATTATTGAGTTTGAGGGGCCGTACGACTGAATCATCTCCCTTGGCTAATCTATAATTTGAAGATTTGATTCTGAAGAGTTTTCCCTTTGTGTTGAAACCGGAAGTGGCAGATGAGATCTGATTATTGATATTCTGCACCAACTGATGGAACACTGGGGGACAAGGTAATGAAGCTTTAGTGACTGAAGATTCATCAACTTTCTGGAGAGCTACCCTTGTCAAAGATTCTTTAGAATTAGTGGAGCTGTTGACTTGGTCAATTTCTAAGGCTGATATGGTTGAATCCCATAAGGAACGAACTAACAAGACCGTTTCTTCTTCAGAGGACTTAGATTTCGACGGCTCGTTGTCATCAGAATCCAAAATACGAGGTTTAGAATCTGAATTTTGAGATTGTGAAATTTTGGAACTAAAATTGTTGATAATGGATCGTGAATTCTGAGTTCCCTGACGTGAAGTCCCGGAAATCCTACTCGGCGAACTATCAGAGGGTCTATTAGTGTGAGAGTAGGAGTGGTGAGACAATCTAGAAGGGCTTCTAAGCTGAGAAACGGGAGATCTTGAACGATTTCGAAAAGTTGACCTACTTACGTCCACGTGGTGTGTGGCGGAATAGTTGTAGTCACGAAATTTGGTGTCATTTTGGTGCGAATCGTTACCTCGTTTTCCCGTCTCTACGGCCTTCTTACTGCTCCGGGGGGACTGCTCTCTCGGAAGCGAGTATTCCGAGTTGTGTAAATAGCTTGAAGACGGGCTTCTACGGTCAGAAGGAGGTCTCGTTGGTGGCCTGTTTCCAAGGGTAGCCATTTTCCTAGTCACCGCCTCTTCCACTAAGGATTGGACATAATCTGTGACGGATGTGGTAGCCAAAGAGACGTCGTTTATCACTTCATTCCCGGTCAAAGTTGACGAGGTCGAGGGACCGTTCAAGTTCAATTCAGAAGTAATTTCACCCTGAATAGAGCCCTGTTCTGCCATACTAGACTAAAGTTATGACTATGATACTCTCTATTCAAAAAACAAATTCTGACTTATAAGTAACAGAAATTTGTTGAGTGAATAGATCGTACGATATATATTGACTTGAAAAATTCCAATTACTCCTACGTGGCAAGAATTAAATATGAATACATAATGAGTTGGGGATCGATATTGGCCACTTGGGCCAGTCCACTTTTTTTATAAAGGGGTGTTTTTTTAGACTTGCCAATTACTCCAAATAAGGGGAGTAAGCATATGTCATATGTCATGGAATAGGTTGGATTGTATGTAATTAGAAAATAAAACATATATGTAAATTTTTGATCGAGGCTTGGCAAGAAGATGTATGTCGCACATGTATAAATGTTATTTAAATGTTTGTTATTCAAGATTGCTTCTTGTATACTCTTTAGTTTTTTCCATAAGGGGTGATGTGAGAAATAAACATTATTACTTGCAATTTGCACCATTTAATGGACTCTACTACAATATTGGTATATTTTAGGTCAAAGCTAGAGACTGTGCCCCTTTAACTTGAAAAATATAGTAACCTGCAACTTGCTTCGGTCAACTTTAAAACAAACAAAAGAAATGAATCAGTTAAATATCTAGGACGAGTCCATGCTAGAAATTCTGCAGGTAGACTATTCAGCTCTTAATTCAAATACAATTAAGAAATTTTAAGCATTCAACTCACCTCCCCTTCTTGGCGTTCTTCACGGTGTGGATCTTTCAACAAAATTTCCAAATGTGGCTCTGATGGTTCCCGATCCAGTTTGCTAGTTCTGATTGGTTGATTTTGCAACTCACGTTCCAGACGATACGATTCGTTCTCCGCATGGTCAAGTTGTTTCTGTAAAGCTTCTATAGCTCTATGGTGGTCTTCCTGCATTAGTTTCATTTGTTGCTGGAATTAAAATAAGTCAATATCAATGTCATGCCAATGATGGTTGTGATGTAAACAATGAGTGTAAGGCCAACAATGGATGTGATGTGAACAATTAATGTAATGTCAACAATGGATGTGATGTGGACAATGATGTCAATGCGATGTTAACAATGAATGTGATGTCAACAATGAATGTAATGTGGACACTGACTATAATATCAACAAGACAAGTCCATCATTAAACGTGCAAAATATCACCACCTCCCATTTGTTACAGACCGACAAAAACCAAAGAAGACCGTAACAATGGATATGATGTCAGCAATGACTGCAATGTCTACAATGGATATGTACAATGAATGGTATATCAACCAACAATGATATACTATACTCTATTAATGTGATGTTAACGATTGATCTGATGTGTATGATAGATCAACAAGATTGATTTCAGTATGCATGTATAATGATGTCAATATTGATGTCAGCACACATAATGTGAAATGATGTCAATATTGATGTCATCACACAGAGAGAAATGATGTCAAAATTGATATCAGCACACACAATGTGAAATAATGTCAATATTGATGTAAATATTGTTGGCAGCACACATAATGTGAATGATGGCAGTATTGATGTCAGCACACATAATGTGAAATGATGTCAATATTGATGTCAGCACACATAATGTGAAATGATGTCAATATTGATGTCAGCACACACAATGTGAATGATTTCAAAATGCATGATGCTGTAACAAAGTTCACTGTATTAAGATGTGACTTAAAACACAAGAACAGATGACATACCCATCTTCTAGTAAACTTAGACGTTATCCATTTGTTATGCTACCAATGATGAAGAATAACACTCAGTTAGTATCACACATTATGACACCACAAAAATAAAATGAACCACACAGTATGACATCATAAAAAAGAAACAGATGGAAAAGTTGACAGAATATGATGATATTATATGATAAATGTTAAATCAAGTTATCATATTCAAATTAGTTTACAAAATAATAGTTAAAGACCCCTCCATGCAATAATGTGTCAACTCAAAATAATCTCTCTCTCTACTTAAGGATTTAAGCCCTGGACACAGTGCGACATGGAATGACCATTCGTTGAAGGTGTTGCTTTCCAAAATGTCCACGAGATGCAGAGCATCAGGCGTTAATTTTAGGAAACAATGCCTGAAAGGAATGGTCATTCCACAATGCATCGAGTCTTGGGCTGAATTCTTTTCACACATTGCAAAACATTTTCTGGAATTGGACACACCTTGCCTAGCTATGTGGGCATTCAATTTGAACAGTTAATCTCTGGAGATGTCAATAAAATTGATTGGCCATGACCTACCTTAAATGTGCTGGTGAGTTGTTCATTCTGTTGTGATAACTGTCTTACAGTTTCTATGTGTTCTGTTATATTACTCATTGGCCATGACTTACCTTGAATGTGCTGGTGAGTTGTTCATTCTGTTGTGATAATTGTCTTACAGTTTCTATGTGTTCTGTTATATTCCTCATTGGCCATGACCTACCTTGAATGTGCTGGTGAGTTGTTCATTCTGTTGTGATAATTGTCTTACAGTTTCTATGTGTTCTGTTATATTCCTCATTGGGCATGACCTACCTTGAATGTGCTGGTGAGTTGTTCATTCTGTTGTGATAATTGTCTAACAGTTTCTGTGTGTTCTGTTATATTACTCATTGGCCATGACTTACCTTGAATGTGCTGGTGAGTTGTTCATTCTATTGTGATAATTGTCTTACAGTTTCTATGTGTTCTGTTATATTACTCATTGGCAAGGACTTACCTTGAATGTGCTGGTGAGTTGTTCATTCTGTTGTGATAACTGTTTAACAGTTTCTGTGTGTTCTGTTATATTACTCATTGGCCATGACCTACCTTGAATGTGCTGGTGAGTTGTTCATTCTATTGTGATAATTGTCTTACAGTTTCTATGTGTTCTGTTATATTACTCATTGGGCATGACTTACCTTGAATGTGCTGGTGAGTTGTTCATTCTGTTGTGATAATTGTCTTACAGTTTCTATGTGTTCTGTAATATTACTCATTGGGCATGACTTACCTTGAATGAGCTGGTGAGTTGTTCATTCTGTTGTGATAACTGTCTTACAGTTTCTATGTGTTCTGTTATATTACTCATTGGCCATGACCTACCTTGAATGTGCTGGTGAGTTGTTCATTATGTTGTGATAATTGTCTTACAGTTTCTATGTGTTCTGTTATATTACTCATTGGCCATGACCTACCTTGAATGTGCTGGTGAGTTGTTCATTCTGTTGTGATAACTGTCTTACAGTTTCTATGTGTTCTGTTATATTACTCATTGGGCATAGCTTACCTTGAATGTGCTGGTGAGTTGTTCATTCTGTTGTGATAACTGTCTTACAGTTTCTATGTGTTCTGTTATATTACTCATTGGCCATGACTTACCTTGAATGTGCTGGTGAGTTGTTCATTCTGTTGTGATAATTGTCTTACAGTTTCTATGTGTTCTGTTATATTACACATTGGCCATGACTTACCTTGAATGTGCTGGTGAGTTGTTCATTCTGTTGTGATAATTGTCTTACAGTTTCTGTGTGTTCTGTTATATTACTCATTGGGCATGACCTACCTTGAATGTGCTGGTGAGTTGTTCATTCTGTTGTGATAATTGTCTTACAGTTTCTATGTGTTCTGTTATATTACTCATTGGGCATGACTTACCTTAAATGTGCTGGTGAGTTGTTCATTCTGTTGTGATAATTGTCTTACAGTTTCTATGTGTTCTGTTATATTACTCATTGGGCATAACTTACCTTAAATGTACTGGTGAGTTGTTCATTCTGTTGTGATAACTGTCTCACAGTTTCTGTGTGTTCTGTTATATTACTCATTGGCCATGACCTACCTTAAATGTGCTGGTGAGTTGTTCATTCTGTTGTGATAACTGTCTTACAGTTTCTATGTGTTCTGTTATATTACTCATTGGGCATGACCTACCTTGAATGTGCTGGTGAGTTGTTCATTCTGTTGTGATAACTGTCTTACAGTTTCTATGTGTTCTGTTATATTACTCATTGGCCATGACCTACCTTGAATGTGCTGGTGAGTTGTTCATTCTGTTGTGATAATTGTCTAACAGTTTCTATGTGTTCTGTTATATTACTCATTGGGCATGACCTACCTTGAATGTGCTGGTGAGTTGTTCATTCTGTTGTGATAACTGTCTCACAGTTTCTATGTGTTCTGTTATATTACTCATTGGCCATGACCTACCTTGAATGTGCTGGTGAGTTGTTCATTCTGTTGTGATAACTGTCTCACAGTTTCTATGTGTTCTGTTATATTACTCATTGGCCATGACCTACCTTGAATGTGCTGGTGAGTTGTTCATTCTGTTGTGATAATTGTCTTACAGTTTCTATGTGTTCTGTTATATTACTCATTGGCCATGACCTACCTTGAATGTGCTGGTGAGTTGTTCATTCTGTTGTGATAACTGTCTAACAGTTTCTATGTGTTCTGTTATATTACTCATTGGCCATGTCCTACTTTGAATGTGCTGGTGAGTTGTTCATTCTGTTGTGATAATTGTCTTACAGTTTCTATGTGTTCTGTTATATTACTCATTGGCCATGACCTACCTTAAATGTGCTGGTGAGTTGTTCATTCTGTTGTGATAATTGTCTTACAGTTTCTATGTGTTCTGTTATATTACTCATTGGCCATGTCCTACTTTGAATGTGCTGGTGAGTTGTTCATTCTGTTGTGATAATTGTCTTACAGTTTCTATGTGTTCTGTTATATTACTCATTGGCCATGACCTACCTTGAATGTGCTGGTGAGTTGTTCATTCTGTTGTGATAATTGTCTTACAGTTTCTATGTGTTCTGTTACATTACTCATTGGCCATGACCTACCTTGAATGTGCTGGTGAGTTGTTCATTCTGTTGTGATAACTGTCTAACAGTTTCTATGTGTTCTGTTATATTACTCATTGGCCATGTCCTACTTTGAATGTGCTGGTGAGTTGTTCATTCTGTTGTGATAACTGTCTTACAGTTTCTGTGTGTTCTGTTATATTACTCATTGGGCATGACTTACCTTGAATGTGCTGGTGAGTTGTTCATTCTGTTGTGATAATTGTCTTACAGTTTCTATGTGTTCTGTTATATTACTCATTGGCCATGACCTACCTTAAATGTGCTGGTGAGTTGTTCATTCTGTTGTGATAACTGTCTTACAGTTTCTATGTGTTCTGTTATATTACTCATTGGGCATGACCTATCTTGAATGTGCTGGTGAGTTGTTCATTCTGTTGTGATAATTGTCTCACAGTTTCTGTGTGTTCTGTTATATTACTCATTGGCCATGACTTACCTTGAATGTGCTGGTGAGTTGTTCATTCTGTTGTGATAATTGTCTTACAGTTTCTATGTGTTCTGTTATATTACTCATTGTGCATGACCTACCTTGAATGTGCTGGTGAGTTGTTCATTCTGTTGTGATAATTGTCTTACAGTTTCTGTGTGTTCTGTTATATTACTCATTGGGCATGACCTACCTTGAATGTGCTGGTGAGTTGTTCATTCTGTTGTGATAATTGTCTTACAGTTTCTATGTGTTCTGTTATATTACTCATTGGGCATGACTTACCTTGAATGTGCTGGTGAGTTGTTCATTCTGTTGTGATAATTGTCTTACAGTTTCTATGTGTTCTGTTATATTACTCATTGGGCATGACCTACCTTGAATGTGCTGGTGAGTTGTTCATTCTGTTGTGATAATTGTCTTACAGTTTCTATGTGTTCTGTTATATTACTCATTGGGCATGACTTACCTTGAATGTGCTGGTGAGTTGTTCATTCTGTTGTGATAATTGTCTTACAGTTTCTATGTGTTCTGTTATATTACTCATTGGCCATGACCTACCTTAAATGTGCTGGTGAGTTGTTCATTCTGTTGTGATAACTGTCTTACAGTTTCTATGTGTTCTGTTATATTACTCATTGGGCATGACCTATCTTGAATGTGCTGGTGAGTTGTTCATTCTGTTGTGATAATTGTCTCACAGTTTCTGTGTGTTCTGTTATATTACTCATTGGCCATGACTTACCTTGAATGTGCTGGTGAGTTGTTCATTCTGTTGTGATAATTGTCTTACAGTTTCTATGTGTTCTGTTATATTACTCATTGGGCATGACCTACCTTGAATGTGCTGGTGAGTTGTTCATTCTGTTGTGATAATTGTCTTACAGTTTCTGTGTGTTCTGTTATATTACTCATTGGCCATGTCCTACTTTGAATGTGCTGGTGAGTTGTTCATTCTGTTGTGATAATTGTCTTACAGTTTCTATGTGTTCTGTTATATTACTCATTGGCCATGTCCTACTTTGAATGTGCTGGTGAGTTGTTCATTCTGTTGTGATAACTGTCTAACAGTTTCTATGTGTTCTGTTATATTACTCATTGGCCATGACTTACCTTGAATGTGCTGGTGAGTTGTTCATTCTGTTGTGATAACTGTCTTACAGTTTCTGTGTGTTCTGTTATATTACTCATTGGCCATGACTTACCTTGAATGTGCTGGTGAGTTGTTCATTCTGTTGTGATAACTGTCTTACAGTTTGTATGTGTTCTGTTATATTACTCATTGGGCATGACCTACCTTGAATGTGCTGGTGAGTTGTTCATTCTGTTGTGATAATTGTCTTACAGTTTCTATGTGTTCTGTTACATTACTCATTGGCCATGACCTACCTTGAATGTGCTGGTGAGTTGTTCATTCTGTTGTGATAATTGTCTCACAGTTTCTATGTGTTCTGTTATATTACTTATTGGCCATGACTTACCTTGAATGTGCTGGTGAGTTGTTCATTCTGTTGTGATAACTGTCTCACAGTTTCTATGTGTTCTGTTATATTACTCATTGGCCATAGCTTACCTTAAATGTGCTGGTGAGTTGTTCATTCTGTTGTGATAATTGTCTTACAGTTTCTATGTGTTCTGTTATATTACTCATTGGCCATGACCTATCTTGAATGTGCTGGTGAGTTGTTCATTCTGTTGTGATAATTGTCTTACAGTTTCTATGTGTTCTGTTATATTACTCATTGGCCATGACCTACCTTGAATGTGCTGGTGAGTTGTTCATTCTGTTGTGATAATTGTCTCACAGTTTCTGTGTGTTCTGTTATATTACTCATTGGGCATGACTTACCTTGAATGAGCTGGTGAGTTGTTCATTCTGTTGTGATAATTGTCTTACAGTTTCTATGTGTTCTGTAATATTACTCATTGGGCATGACTTACCTTGAATGTGCTGGTGAGTTGTTCATTCTGTTGTGATAATTGTCTTACAGTTTCTATGTGTTCTGTAATATTACTCATTGGGCATGACTTACCTTGAATGAGCTGGTGAGTTGTTCATTCTGTTGTGATAATTGTCTTACAGTTTCTATGTGTTCTGTTATATTACTCATTGGGCATGACCTACCTTGAATGTGCTGGTGAGTTGTTCATTCTGTTGTGATAATTGTCTTACAGTTTCTATGTGTTCTGTTATATTACTCATTGGCCATGACCTACCTTGAATGTGCTGGTGAGTTGTTCATTCTGTTGTGATAACTGTCTTACAGTTTCTATGTGTTCTGTTATATTACTCATTGGGCATGACCTACCTTGAATGTGCTGGTGAGTTGTTCATTCTGTTGTGATAATTGTCTTACAGTTTCTGTGTGTTCTGTTATATTACTCATTGGCCATGACCTACCTTGAATGTGCTGGTGAGTTGTTCATTCTGTTGTGATAACTGTCTAACAGTTTCTATGTGTTCTGTTATATTACTCATTGGGCATGACTTACCTTGAATGTGCTGGTGAGTTGTTCATTCTGTTGTGATAATTGTCTTACAGTTTCTATGTGTTCTGTTATATTACTCATTGGCCATGACCTACCTTAAATGTGCTGGTGAGTTGTTCATTCTGTTGTGATAACTGTCTTACAGTTTCTATGTGTTCTGTTATATTACTCATTGGGCATGACCTATCTTGAATGTGCTGGTGAGTTGTTCATTCTGTTGTGATAATTGTCTCACAGTTTCTGTGTGTTCTGTTATATTACTCATTGGCCATGACTTACCTTGAATGTGCTGGTGAGTTGTTCATTCTGTTGTGATAATTGTCTAACAGTTTCTATGTGTTCTGTTATATTACTCATTGGGCATGACTTACCTTGAATGTGCTGGTGAGTTGTTCATTCTGTTGTGATAATTGTCTTACAGTTTCTATGTGTTCTGTTATATTACTCATTGGGCATGACCTACCTTGAATGTGCTGGTGAGTTGTTCATTCTGTTGTGATAATTGTCTAACAGTTTCTGTGTGTTCTGTTATATTACTCATTGGGCATGACCTACCTTAAATGTGCTGGTGAGTTGTTCATTCTGTTGTGATAATTGTCTTACAGTTTCTATGTGTTCTGTTATATTTCTCATTGGCCATGACTTACCTTAAATGTGCTGGTGAGTTGTTCATTCTGTTGTGATAATTGTCTTACAGTTTCTATGTGTTCTGTTATATTACTCATTGGCCATGACCTACCTTAAATGTGCTGGTGAGTTGTTCATTCTGTTGTGATAACTGTCTTACAGTTTCTATGTGTTCTGTTATATTACTCATTGGGCATGACCTATCTTGAATGTGCTGGTGAGTTGTTCATTCTGTTGTGATAATTGTCTCACAGTTTCTGTGTGTTCTGTTATATTACTCATTGGCCATGACTTACCTTGAATGTGCTGGTGAGTTGTTCATTCTGTTGTGATAATTGTCTAACAGTTTCTATGTGTTCTGTTATATTACTCATTGGGCATGACTTACCTTGAATGTGCTGGTGAGTTGTTCATTCTGTTGTGATAATTGTCTTACAGTTTCTATGTGTTCTGTTATATTACTCATTGGGCATGACCTACCTTGAATGTGCTGGTGAGTTGTTCATTCTGTTGTGATAATTGTCTAACAGTTTCTGTGTGTTCTGTTATATTACTCATTGGGCATGACCTACCTTAAATGTGCTGGTGAGTTGTTCATTCTGTTGTGATAATTGTCTTACAGTTTCTATGTGTTCTGTTATATTTCTCATTGGCCATGACTTACCTTAAATGTGCTGGTGAGTTGTTCATTCTGTTGTGATAATTGTCTTACAGTTTCTGTGTGTTCTGTATTACTTGTACTGTAGTCTTGGTTCAACTGGTCATATCTGAAAATGAATTCAATACTTCAAAAATTGAATCTTATTTTCAAGGACAGTTTTTGGTATCCTTAGTATCCACAGGCGAACTTGGAAGACAAAAAGGTTATTTCAAATATGTTTTTCTACATTACTTGTGCATGTATTCAATTCTTATTAAATATTTAATAATCATTCATTCTGCATGTACCTGGATTGATATAAGGTATGGAAAATCACTTTTGTGCCTCACCAAACTAATAAAAACTTCATTACAAAATTGAGTTTGTACAAAGGATAGATTTATCCGTAACATTTTATCAGTAGTATACAGGAGAACACATAAAGTGGAACACATCTGATAGTAAAACAATTTCAATTTTTTTTATAAAACAATCTGAGCAAAAATTCCTGGCCAAAAATTCATTCAAAAATTATGCAGTTCACCATTCCGAGCACTTTTTAAGTGATTTTGGCCATTTTTGGACCAAAATTGTCAAAAGTGAACCCCCTGGATTTTTTTAAAAAGGCTGATGAACCTCTGATGAACCTCTTTTCCAAATGAAGCATTATTTTGACGTTTCAAAAGCATTCCACTTATACAAATTTTCCTGAAGATTGCTTACTTGTTTTTCCATGAGTTTTCTCTTGATTCTTTATCTTGTAAAAGTTTGTTGTGGCGTGTCATGAGATTATCATGTTCTTCCTGTAGAGCTTCATATTCTGCCAGCGATGCAGTTAGGTTATCACTAAAATGAAAACAACGATAAAATTCAAGATTTTATTTTCTACTTATTAAGCATACTCTCAATCACTTATTTTTTCTGTGTGTTGAAATAATTGTATCTCTATTTTAGGGCATCGTTATATTGAAAAAATATCTTTACACAAAATGAAAGATGCTTTTAGTGATCCTCAGTCTTAATTGTTTAAATAACTTATTGATCTCTCAAGTCCCACATGAGCATCGAGCAATTCATGGTTGCCTTTTTTCAATTCAATTCAATTTATTTCATAATCTTTACACCAGTATAATATACACTATCATATCAAGTTGCTAGATGCCCAGAGGCAATCACTTTTTAGTTGCAATGAACATATTGTCAGTCTGGCAAGTTTGGCATCAATGTTTTCAACCTTAGTGCTATAATCCTGTTCTAGATCAGTTAATTAAAATTATCCTTGGAAAGTGTTGTCACCTTGTTTCATGAAGTTTTAACCTCAGTTGTTCAGCTGACTTTTCAAGTCTCACTCGTTCCAGCTTTTCCGCCTCTGGATCAAAGTCAGATGGAGATTTAGTCTTCTGTTGCTTAAGCACACTGTGAACACGAACCTGAGAGACGACAAAATAAAAAAAATTATGGAATATATTCTGAAGTGATCTCCCTTGGTTTTTACAATCAATGTGCTAAATCCTACATTTTAACTGCTTGATTTGATCAATTAGTTAATATTTAATCCTTATTCAGATCACAATATTTATAGGTTTTGAAAAGGGCGGCAGTGATTTCTAGGGTGTGTTATGATAATTAAGACATACAAATGATTGAAGAATGTATTTAGACCCTAGAAAGATAAATAATAATTTTTTTCTCATTTCATAGACTGTTTTCTATCCCCTATGCTTCCCATATTAGAACTTCATTTATTTCACCCCCCCCCCCCCCCCCCCCCGTCCATCCCCAGAGTCTCTCCACTCACCTTATATGAGTCAAATTCAGCATTAGTAGCAACTAGTTCGCTCTTAGATATCTCCAAGTCACCTTGTAAGGATTGGACCTTATTTTCTAACGCACGTACGGTTCTCTCATGAGAGTTGGTCAATGTTCGGATTTTGTCGGAATGTTTCTGGTTTTCAGCAGTTAGTTCAGCTATATGTACCTGGAGAAATAAAATCAATATAAGGATACAACCTTGAACTCTTGCACTTGAACAACAATATGTCCTAAAATCCAAAGGATCCAATTTTTCTCAAAACATGTTAAAGTCATGTTTAGCCCATGTCAGAATAATGTCCCAGTTATTGAAATTTGCATGAAAGTATATCTAGCTTGAATTATGGTGATCACATTCTACATTGTAAAGAACAAAAAAAAAATGTGTGGGACACCAACATTCAGACTGACCTTCAAAAGCGTGAGACACCAACATTCAGACTGACCTTTAGCTCCTCTCCTTGCATTTGCATGGCTTCTAATTGGCCACGTAGTTGAGCATCAGACGTCCTTTGTTCACTCTCAGTTTTTCTAGCCTCAGCAAGATCTTTCTTGCTTTTAACAAGGAGTTGTTTTAGTTTGTTGCCCCTATCTTCCGCCTGAACTCTTTGGGAATCAACAGTATCTATGGATATATAAGAGGCTCATGTTTAAGAATACAAATTCATAAAGAAAATAGAAGTGGGACAAGCAATATATTAAGATATTGGTGTTCAAATTAAAAACAACAAAATTGAAGAAAATCTGACATTTCATTTAAATTCTAAAGAGACCTGACACACAGTTTTGACAATATACAATATGAGTGTCTAGTTGACCACTTTTAAAGAGTGCTCAAAATGAGAAATTTTACCAGTAAATTTTCTATTAATTACAATACAAACCTATTCCATGACATATGCTTACTCCCCTTATTTGGAGTAATTGGCAAGTCTAAAAAACACCCCTTTATAAAAAGTGGACTGGCCCAAGTGGCCAATATCGATCCCCAACTCATTATGTATTCATATTTAATACGCTAACAAAATAATAAATAACCTCCATTTTCCCAAAGGCGGGGAGGCTGGGTGGGCCTCTGGTCATGGAATAGGTTTGTATTGTAATTAATAGAAAATTTACTGGTAAAATTTCTCAATTACATACAATCCAACCTATTCCATGACATATGCTGAATAAAAAGTTAAGGAGGTGGGGACCTCGTTACTAAAAGTACAAAAGAACTATATTACCATCCTAATGAGATGTCACCCAAAGAATAGTACATGTACCATTACCCCCATCTGCTAGTTGGATCCAAGACGGAGGCTGTTACATGTCCAACTGGAGACTGTTATGTCCTATCAGAGTGAGCAGTCTTAGCCATTTAAGGGTAATGACCAACTCCTATGAATAGAGACTGGTTAACCAAGAAAGGGCCGTTTAAACCAAACGAGGTAACCGTTGCAGTTCTTCAAGGGTCCAGGTCACAAGCTAGTTGAGTTGAACCCTTCTGCAAAACAGTCGAGGCCAAGCTTCCCACGTGAATCCATCTGCAGATATATAGTGAGTGAAGAACACTTACGTCTAAAAGTTGCAGAGAGTGCCAGCTAGTACCACCGGGCCCAGCTTGTGCATGCCTTTCTCCATTACTGTCACATCTCTGAGGTAGTAACTTGTGAAGGTGTTGTGGGATGCCCATGAACAGGTCTTGAAGAGTGCTGTTAATGAGGCATTGGCTTGTAGAGCTAGTGAGGAAGATATGGCTCTTGTCTCGTGTGGTCGTATCTTCCCTTGTAACTTGCTTTCTTCTGAGGCATTCTTGTAGACATAGTTCAACAGTTGTTTCACCCAACTAGAGAGAGTGTTAGGGTGTACATCAGAACTGCATCCTTTCTTGAAGGGGATGAAAAGTCTATTCCTGACTCCTCTGATAGGAACTGTGGCTTGAAGATAATATCTTAGGGCCCTCACAGGACATAAGAATTTATCTGGCGTTTCATTTCCAACGAAATTAGCTAGAGCCTTGATAGTGATTGGTTGGAATCTGGACTGTCCTTCTGCGCAATTCAATGATTTCGGCAGGAAACCAACAAAAGGGAAAAGTACCGCTTCCAAGTTGTTTCTAGTCCATTGTATACGCCTAATGTCTATGGCATGGATGTCAGAACGTCTTTTCCCTGAAGCTAACAGTAGAAGGAAAAGTGTCTTCCACGATACGTGTTTGAGATCAGCTGTCGACATTGGTTCGAAGGGAGGTTTGGTTAACTCGTGTAGTACAAACACTAGGTCCCACTTAGGCATCAGATCTTTAGGCTGAGCATCTTCTAATTTGAAAGAATGGATCAGATCAGAGATTTCTTGAGTCGACGAGAGTGATGTGCCACTTGAATGTTGAAGGACTTGATTGATGACAGTTCTATAACCTTCAATGGTACTCACTGTTAACTTCTTTACTGAATGAAGATAAAGTAAGAAGTCAGCTATTTCTGGAACAGAGACTGTGCAGGGATCCAGATTCCTCTCAGAACACCAAATAGAGAACTTCTTCCATTTGGCATCATAGACTCTGTTGGTGGAAGGTCTTCTAGCATCTGATGCGATTCTTTTTGACACTTGTGTTGAAAAACCCTTCTGAGTGAGAGATTTCGTGAGAGTTTGCAAGCGTGAAGATGGAAAAGTTCTGGATTTTGATGGAAGATCTGACTTCTTGGCATTTTGAGAAGTTTCTCCAATGGGGGGATTTCCCTTGGATAGTCCACTAGAAGATCCAATAGTTCTGGGAACCACGGCTGATTCTGCCATTTTGGAAGGATTGCTAGAGTTAAACAGTCGTGATCCTTTATCTTTTGTAGAACTAATCCTATCACTGGCGTGGGGGGATAGATGTACAGATGAAGATTTTGCCAGCTTAGGGATAGAGCGTCTGTTGCCCAAGCTGCTTGATCTTGTATTGGTGAGACATACACTGGTAGTTGGTTGTTGTAGCATGTCGCCATCATGTCTAGATTTGGAGTTCCCCATATCTTGAACATCTGTTTGACAACTGCTGGATGTAAGGACCATTCTGTCGCAACTATCTGATTTCCCCGGCTCAACAGATCTGCTCTTCGATTCAGTCGACCTGGCACATGTCTTGCGCGAAGACGGACTTGATGTAAATCGGCCCATAACCATATCTGTCGAGATAACTCTGTCAGTTTTGCTGACTGTGTTCCCCCTTGTTTGTTGAGGTAGGTTGTCGCAGTTGTGTTGTCTGCACAAATTAACACCATCTTTCCTTGGAGGTGAGTCTGAAAGTGTTGAAGGGCTTTCTGTATGGCTTTTAGTTCCAGCCAGTTTATGTGGTTGTTGGATTCTGATTGGGACCAGTTTCCACAGCACTCTTTCGATATGTTCAGATCCATGTGAGCTCCCCACATCGCTGTTGAAGCATCTGTGAATATTGTCACTTCTGGTGAAAAAGGAGCTAAAGTCATCCCTTTCTCCAGATGCTGGCCTTGATTCCACCACAACAGGTCCAATCTTGCAGTACGATCTACTGTTATCATCTTGTCCAATGGATCTCTGAGTTGAGACCAATTCTGAGACAGGCATTGTTGGAGGAACCTCATGTGTAATCTCCCCAGTGGGACTTGTTTCTCTGCTGATGCCAGTAATCCCAGAAGAGACATCCACTGCTTGGCTGTTGCTCGACTTTCTGTGAGGAACCAGTCTGTTAGGTGTAGAATTTTGTCTATTCTGTCCTGGGGGGGATAGGACATCCCTAGATGAAGGTCCCACCGTACACCTACATAGTCGAAGATCTGCAACGGAATCAACTGCGATTTCTTGTGATTGATGATGAAGCCAAGGTTTTCCGTCACCGTCATCACAATCCGTAGGTGATCTGAGACTTCCTGTGGCGATGCTCCTCGGATTAACCAATCGTCTAAATACCGGTGGAGTTTTATCCCGAGCTTGTGGAAGAATGAGGCTAGGGGTTCCAGGATCTTGGTGAATATCATCGGTGCTGTTGCCAGACCGAAAGGCAGTACTCGAAATTGCAGAATTTTCCCGTTGACGACAAAACGGAGATACTTCCGGAAGTTCTCTTTCATCATTATATGAAGATAAGCATCCCGAAGGTCCAAGGATACTGCCCATTCGCCTTGTTGGAAGGAGGTCATGTACTGCTGTACTGTTTCCATTTTGAATTTGGGAACTATTAAGACTTGATTTAAAGTTCTCAAATTGATGACGGGTCTGTCTTCTCCATTCTTCTTCTTGACCAAGAATAGATTGCTGTAAAACCCTGGAGAATGTCTGTTTAGAACTTCTTCTACAGCATTCTTTTGCAGAAGGTCCTCTACCACTCTGCTGAAACGAGCTGCTTTGCTCGATGTTGAAGACTCGAACTGGTTTGGTTCGGTGCATAACGTCACAGTTGAATTCATCTGTGGGATGTATCCTACCTGGATCATCTTCAGTATAAACGGATCTTCCGTTAACAGCTTCCAATTCGGAAGGAAAAACATCAATCTTCCCCCTACAGGTCCTGGATATGGAGGAATTGTGAAGATTGGGATCATAGAATGGTCACTTCTTGGAGAATCTGTTGTCTTTGTTGAAGTGCTTACCACCTTTATTGTCGTATTTCTTCTTGGAATCACGAAAATCTGACTTGGATTTGTCTTGTGATTTGGACCAATCTTTGTTAGAAGATTTCTTCCTGTAGTCAGGCCTGGATTGGCGTTGGGACCTGTCTTTGTCTTTACTAGATCTAGAACTGGACTGGGCCAAGGTAACTAGTGCTTGGTTTGTCAGATTTGAGGAGGCTGAGTCAACCAAATCTTTAAGTTGTGACTCTGGATACAAAGTGGTAGATGTATGCTCAACTGGTAGTACCCTCATAGATTCGCGGAAGCGTGTTGGTACTTGTTCTTGAATCAGATCACGTTGAAGTAATGCTGAGTTGGTGAGAGTCTTGAGAATACCTTCAGTAGCAGTAACAGAGGCTGTCGAACCCCTAAGGAGTAAATCGCCCATGGAATCTAACAACTGGGTAACTAGTGGATCCGTGTTGTTGGATAAGTGTGCTGTGAGTTGGGTAACTAACTTTGAAACAGAACCTATATACCACTCTGAGTACACCAAAGGTTGAAGGACAGCCCTCAAGTTCTCTTCGAGACCCTTCCAGTTTTTATTGGAGAGTTGAGTTTTAGTATCAGCATTCTTGAAGAAATCACTGAAGGTTTTATCATTTGGGACTAAGTTTCCAAGTGAATTATTGAGTTTGAGGGGCCGTACGACTGAATCATCTCCCTTGGCTAATCTATAATTTGAAGATTTGATTCTGAAGAGTTTTCCCTTTGTGTTGAAACCGGAAGTGGCAGATGAAATCTGATTATTGATATTCTGCACCAACTGATGGAACACTGGGGGACAAGGCAATGAAGCTTTAGTGACTGAAGATTCATCAACTTTCTGGAGAGCTACCCTAGTCAAAGATTCTTTAGAATTAGTGGAGCTGTTGACTTGGTCAATTTCTAAGGCTGATATGGTTGAATCCCATAAGGAACGAACTAACAAGACCGCTTCTTCTTCAGAGGACTTAGATTTAGACGGCTCGTTGTCATCAGAATCCAAAATACGAGGTTTAGAATCTGAATTTTGAGATTGTGAAATTTTGGAACTAAAATTGTTGATAATAGATCGTGAATTCTGAGTTCCCTGACGTGAAGTCCCGGAAATCCTACTCGGCGAACTATCAGAGGGTCTATTAGTGTGAGAGTAGGAGTGGTGAGACAATCTAGAAGGGCTTCTAAGCTGAGAAACGGGAGATCTTGAACGATTTCGAAAAGTTGACCTACTTACGTCCACGTGGTGTGTGGCGGAATAGTTGTAGTCACGAAATTTGGTGTCATTTCGGTGCGAATCGTTACCTCGTTTTCCCGTCTCTACGGCCTTCTTACTGCTCCGGGGGGACTGCTCTCTCGGAAGCGAGTATTCCGAGTTGTGTAAATAGCTTGAAGACGGGCTTCTACGGTCAGAAGGAGGTCTCGTTGGTGGCCTGTTTCCAAGGGTAGCCATTTTCCTAGTCACCGCCTCTTCCACTAAGGATTGGACATAATCTGTGACGGATGTGGTAGCCAAAGAGACGTCGTTTATCACTTCATTCCCGGTCAAAGTTGATGAGGTCGAGGGACCGTTCAAGTTCAATTCAGAAGTAATTTCACCCTGAATAGAGCCCTGTTCTGCCATACTAGACTAATGTTATGACTATGATACTCTCTATTCAAAAAACAAATTCTGACTTATAAGTAACAGAAATTTGTTGAGTGAATAGATCGTACGATATATATTGACTTGAAAAATTTTCCAATTACTCCTACGTGGCAAGAATTAAATATGAATACATAATGAGTTGGGGATCGATATTGGCCACTTGGGCCAGTCCACTTTTTATAAAGGGGTGTTTTTTAGACTTGCCAATTACTCCAAATAAGGGGAGTAAGCATATGTCATGGAATAGGTTGGATTGTATGTAATTGGTGAATATCTGCATGATTTTGAAAAAAGATTTAAGGCTGGGGGGGGGGCTAAGGGCCTGCATTCTCCCTACCTAGTTCTTTCTGTAAGGACTCAACGCGGTCTTGTAGATGTGTGGTGTCTTTTGTCATCTCCTCTATGGTAGCGTCTCTCTCGGATATTTGACTGTTCAAATTCTGCACTGTTCTCTCATAGTCAGCGATCTCTAGATCCATCATGCTGCTCTGTTTGGCCCCCTAGACATACAACAAACAGGTATGTTATGTTAATAACATGTTTTTGTATATACTGTATTTGTATAATAATAGTGTAGTGTAGTGTAGTGTAGTAAGCTTTTATTTTTGTACTGACTCATATGTCATACCATGACATTCTAAGAGTCAATAAAAGATATATATATGAGAACTTTACAGTATAGTAAAACTTGTAGTGAACACCTCTGGAGCCACAAAGAAGTGTTTACTGAAGGTAAGTGATCAGTTTGATTTAAGGCCAAGAAAAATACTCACATGTTTAGCTTCCTGTAGGTCCTGGTTATAGCCATCCAGCTTAGCTTTGAAATCAATCTCTTTCTGTTTTGATTCTTCTTTCAATCGGTCTATATCACCCTCTAAAGCTTTCACTTTTTCGTTCAGTTTGGCTTTATCTGCGACAAATTGTTCTTTTTGAAGTCGCTCGGCATCTCTTTCTTTTTCTATGGTTTTCATCAATTTTTGTTGCTCTTCAATTTTCTTTTCAGAATTCTGGAATCAAATATTTGAGTCATACAGATATATATTGAAATGATTATTGCCCATGCATGCATATGTTTACATTATTTAGTTTATGCGTATGCCTCCAAACACCAAACCCCAACCACCGAACACTGTCCACAAAAAAGTTGGCAAACTATAACAATGTCACAGTGGTAACATGAAACACTGATTAACAATTAGACAACCATTAGTTTTGAATACTAGAAAGCATAAAATATTTGTTGAAATAGTGTTTATTTATTTTGTTTTGGTTTATTTATTTATTTCTTTTTTTGCATAATTGACAGAGTGTACAGCTTTGTATCAACCAATAGAAAAGCAAATTCTACCTTCAAATCATTTCTCGCCTTCTCTACATCACCAGATAATTTGTTCTTTGTTTCATTCAAACTGGCAAGCTCTTCTTTTAACTTTGTCAGTTCTTCATCAGTTTTTGTGACATCTTTTTCAAAATTGGATGATTTTTGTCTCTCTTCATCTAAACTGTCATGCAAGTTGTCATATTCCTCTTGTAGCGACTGAAATGAAAATGAATTCGAATGAAGAGAAAATAAGATTAAATTATTATTAATTTTACCCATTGGAAAGACCAGCCTTTTCCAGGGATTAATTCAAGCTAATTAAATCACTAGCTTTATATCAAACACAGAATGATGGTGTATAGTGAGGCAAATACAGAATGATGGTGTATAGTGAGGCAAATACAGAATGATGGTGTATAGTGAGGCAAATACAGAATGATGGTGTATAGTGAGGCAAATAAAGAATGATGGTGTATAGTGAGGCAAACACAGATTGATGGTGTATAGTGGGAAAAATAAGAAAATTACATATTTTTTCTAATTTAAAATAATTTTACGAGATTCTACAAATTATTTCCATATACTACTTATTCGTGGATCATCAGGCTAGATTAAACTTTGTGAATTTTCTCTCTGGATATCTGCAATAAGGAGCTAACTCAAGTAATAGTATTTTCATAATTATTTAGCATTATCACTTTACCTTGTAATTTTCCACAAGTTTGTCTTTTGATTCTTTTAGGGTTGTCTGCTCTGCCTTCAGTGCTTCCATCTATAACAATAAAATAATATTTGGAAATGAAACAAGGAGGATTGGCTCCCAGAATGCAACACCGATATTCTGCAAAACAATCACCTAGCGATAGCTTTGTTGGAGAGTATCGGGTCATTCTCCATGCAGTCGTACAAATTATACAGACACGAATAGCAAATGACGCATGCGTGGAGATTAAAGAATATCGAGTTGGAACCCTGGCTTCCAATCCTCCTTGGAAATGTAATGATGGATATTTCAAATATAAGTGACTGGTAGCTCATACAAATTTATTTCTCATATATTTATTTGTAATTAGCTATTTGTTGTTAAACAAATGTAAGAAATTGGACAGCATTTGTTAAAAGCAAGCAGCATCTTAAGATCATCATTTTGCTACGCTCAACCCCAAAAGAGCATGTGCAAAAACATAAAAATTCACTTTGCTTAACCTTTTGAATCCCAGGTTCTAAAATCAGTTTGAAACCAGAGAATTTTTCTTTTCCAGCTTTTGACATTTGACTACATATATACAATGTATGATGCTCAACTTGGTGAAATTAGTCTACAGAGATAATTTCTCCACATTTTAAAAAGTATTTTGTGGGTTTCAAGGTCATTTCTATGATGACGAGAATTCTTGTCACTCTGGGTAGTCAAGAGGTTAAAAATAGCTTTCACTAAAGAAAACAGTACCTCTTTATTCAATTCAGCCAGCTCTTTCTTGCCCCTTATGGCCACTTGTTTGAACTTATTCATTTTGTCTGCTTTCTCCTTCATCTCTTCCTTTAGAGCTTTGATCTCATCTTCATTGTGTTTCTTTAGTTCATTTAGTTTTTCTTCGGTGACTATCTTTGTTTGTTCTGCCTCAGACTGGAAATATATTCATGTGTGATCATCATTTCTTTTATCTATTTGTCTAGCTATGCTATGCACTGAAGTATTACTATGAGAGGGTGACACAGATTGTGTATATTCCCGACCGTGTGAAAAATAACATATATTATCTGGTTGGTTTCAAAAGCATTCAAAAAGTATTAAGTGAAAGGCTTGTGGTGTAACTTGGTCACACCAGGACCCCAATTTGCTAAACTTTGACAGTAGTCCCCACAAGAAAAGAACTTACATTTTGCTGAACTGATTCAACTTCAATTTTGTTTTTCTCCTCTATCACAGATTCCTTCTCTTGTAGGGTCTGAGTCAGCTCCTGGAGTTTCTGATTCAATTCATCGATTGTTTTCTCGAGTTCTTTGATATGAGCATCTCTATCACTTAATGATGTTTTTAAATTTTCTGATCCATCTAAAAGTTCTTTGATATTCAACTCATTTTCATTCAATTTGATATTCAATGATTCCTTTTCACTCTCAAGTTTTGCATTTAATTCTCCAGCAGATGCCAATTGTTCCTCCAATGATTTTTTAATATCATCATTCTCTAGCTTGATCTTTTCAATTTTATCATTTAGTTGTTTAATAGTGTTCTCAAAATCATTTTCCTTTGAAGCACTTTCCTTTGCTTTGCTTTCAAACTGTTCCTTCGCTTCCAGAAGCTCATTTTTTAATTTATCAAAATCTGATGTCAAATTGTCTTTCTCCAACACAATATTTCGCATTACTGAATTCAACTGTTCTTTTTCTGATTTAAGATTTGCGATGATTTCTTTTGACTCAATAAGTTCAGTTGTTGCACTCTCTGAACCTTGTTTCATTGATCCCAAGGTATCTTGCAAACTACACTTCTCAGCACTCACACCTTCGAACTGTGATCTCAAATAATTCATCTCTTCATTCAAAGTCTTTATTCTATCCTTTAAGTTATTATTTTCACTCATATTTTCATCAAGTTGTTGTTTTAGTGATTGGCAGGTTTCTTTAAGTTCTTCATTCAGTTTAGTATATTCAGTTGATTTTTCTGATTCTGAATTCAACTTTTCTGTCAATTCCTGCAATTGTTTATTTTTCTCCTCAACATGACTAGATAATGTTTGCACCTCATTTAATCTATCTTCAATTGTTTTCTTCATCTCTTCAACTGCAGTAGTGTGAATAGTTTCTTTATTAGTCCATTCATTGGTCATACTTTCTACCAGTTCTCTGTTGGCATTCTGTAGGCAAGTCATCTCTTCCTTTAGATTTTCATAATCTTGCTTGGAATGTAGAAGTTCTTGAGACAATTTTTCAAATTTAGAGTTTGTGTCTTTATCTTGATTCTTAGTTTGTTCTTGCTCCTCTGTAAGAACTGTTATTTTGGTATTCGCCTCTTCTAACTGTTTGTTCTTTTCTTCGAGTTCTTTCAACGTTTCATCATGACTTTCATCTTGGTGTTTCTTATTGTCTTCTATCTCCTTTAACAATGATTCTATTTTGGTTTCTGCTTCATTTAAACGTTGTTTACACTCTTCCATTTCTTTCAGTTGGGTTTCAAGTTGGTGTTTGCTGACATCTTGTTCTTTCAATATGGCCTCATGATTTCCCAACTGGTGTTTGTTTACTTCATTTTCTTGAGATAGAATTTCAATTTTAGAATTTGCTTCATCTAAACTTTGTTTGCCTTCTTCCAAATCTTTGGACAAATTTTCCACTTTCTTGCTTTCATCTTCTAGATGTTGTTTGCCTTCTTCTAATTCTTTGGACAAACTTTCCACTTTCTTGCATTCATCTTCTAGCTGTTGTCTGGTCTCTTCCAGTTCTTTGGACAAACTTTCCACTTTCTTGCTTTCATCTTCTAGCTGTTGTCTGGTATCTTCCAGTTCTTTGGACAAACATTCCGATTTCTTAGCCTGATTTTCCAAATGTTGTCTACTTTCATCTAATTCTTCAGAAGTCAACTGCTGACTTTCGATTTGTCGTCTGCTTTCCTCAATTTCCTCTCCAAGTTTTCTTTTATCAATACTAAGTCTTTCTGAATGTTCTGATGACATATCAAGACTGTTTTTAAGCTGAGCTATTTCTTCATTTGCCTTGTCTAGATCTCGCCTGCATGTTAACAAACTCTGAAGATTATCATTTTCCTCGCCTTTGGTAGAATTTAATTCCTGCATTATTTGTTCCTTTTCTGAATTTAAAGTCTCTGTTTCTTTTTTCAGGCTCTGTATTTCTTTAAGAAATTTTCGCTCTTGTTCCTGGAAACTTTGAATTTCTTTTGAGTAGTCTTCATTTTCAGCGTGTAGAATTTCAGCCTCTTGAGTAAACTGCTCAATGACTCTTGTCTTTTCTTCAATTTCTGCTAAGAGCTTCTGTTCCTTCTCTTCAAGTTCAAACAAATCCTTTTCCATTTTTTCTTTATCTTCTTTCATCATATTCATCAGTCCTTCCCATTCTACTAATTTTTCTTGGCTGTTTGATAATTCAGATTCCACAGCCTCTTTTTCATCTTTGATATATGTCTCATTTTCTCTTAGACTCTCAAGCTCAGAATTTAAACTTTCAACTTTCTGACTTAGTTCATCAATTTTTGTTTGGTAATTCACAGATGCATCCACATCATCAGCTTCCTCACTCTTTTTATCGATTCTCAATTTTTCATTTTCCTCAATTAGGTTTTCTTTTTCACTTTCCATTTCATCAAGTTTGAATTTTAGATTTTCATACTCTGTTTTAATAGTTGTGATTTCTGTCATCATCTGTTGCTTAGTAACTTGGTATTCCTCAGTTATTATCGTAATTTCTTTAGTCTTCTGTTCAATTTCCTCTACCAAGAATTGCTGATCAGTTTTCATTCGTCCAATCTGAGTTTCAACAGGATCTTCCTTTTCATTCTTGGTGGTTTGATCCTCATTTAAATCTGTATCACTTTCTTCTGTATGTTGATCCTCTTCTTTGTCTTTAATACACTCCTCTCTAGATGTTTCTGCATCATCAACTGTAGTTTTGTCTTTCTCCACAGATAAATCTTTAATACGCTGCAGAAGTTCCTCAATTTGATCGTTAGCAAACTTCAAATGGTCATCCACAGATTTTTTACTTTCTTTCAAAGCTTCAAGTTCAGTATTCAGAGCTGTTATTTGATTGTTCATTTCAGCTAATCCAGAAACATTTTCTTGGGACTTTTCGTTGATTTCTATAAGCATTTTTTCTTTTTCATCTTTCAGAAGATCATGTTCCTTCTCCAGATTCAAGTATTCATCTTTCAAACTCACAAGCTCTTTATGGAGTTTCACATTTTCCTCATTTATTCTGTCACACAGTGTTTTCAACTCACTGAACTGTTCATTTTTATCAGCATCACCAGACTGAGATTTTTGCAGTTGCACATTCAGATGTTCCTTTTCTGCTTTGATGGAATCAAGTTCAACTTTGAGGGCTTCACTTTCTGAATTTAAATGTTGTTTTTCTTCTTTGATGGAATTGAGTTCAAGTTTAAGAGCTTCATTTTCATTGTCCTTGTGAGAAATGTTTTCTCTCAAAGCGGATATGTCTTCTTGACGATGTTGTGAAAAGTCTTTCAATTTTGTATTTTCTTCCGATAATTGGTCTCTCATATTTTTCAATTCATCCCGTTCTAGCCTCATATCCTCTAGTAGTTTATTCACATCACTCAGTTTTGATTTAAAACTTGCACTCGATTTTCTAAAAACATCAAAATCTTTACTCATTTGAGATTTTTCCTTTTTAACCTTTTCTAGTGTACTTTCCAGATTTTCAAAGTCATTAAGTTTTGCTGTCAAATCTGATTGAACAGCCTCTTTTTCAGATTTCAGACTCTCTACTGATTGGTTGAGTTCTTCAAGCTGTTTGGTGATACTCTCTTTTGATTGGATGGAGATTTCAAGGTCATTGGTTGCCTGGTTGTATTTAACCTCAAGTTCTTGCTTAAGGTCAGTCAACTCCTGAAAAGCAATAGTGGTAGAGTGATAAATATGTTAATAATGACATGTACGAGTACAGTTAAATCTTACATAGGAGTCACATCGATATAATATTCCACTTACTCTCAAAACCTGTTACTTAGTTACAAGAGTAAGTTAACCAGGTAAGAGGTGTTCCAATGGTTGGTTTAAAGAACAAACAAATGTGCAATTATTGTATGATAATATGAAAAACTAAAAACTCACAGATACCAAAAATGGAAAGAAAAGAAAGAATTGACCTGATCTGAAACAAGGCATTAACATGAAAATGTCACCACCTGCCATTTTTTACAGATGCCAAATGCCTCCGACTGCTGTCACAAAAATGTTGGAGACTATAACAATATGACACCATTTCTGGTGGTGAAATAATGAATTGAAAAGGCATAATTATGATATAATAAACCTGTATCTGAGTTGCAGAGCTCTCAAGTTTTAGTTTCATCTCTTCTAAGCCTGAGTCATCTTGTTGTTGTTGTTGTTGTTCTGGCTTTTGTTGTAACTGTTCTTGTTGTTGTTGATGTTTAACTTTCATAGTCTTAAGAGCTTTCATTAGTTTATCCCTGGCCTCAGTCAGAACTTTGATCTCATCCTTCAAACTCTGAAATCATTAAACATTCACATTAAGGTAGGTCTAGGTGGACCTTAAGGTGGGATCACATTAAGGTAGGTCTAGGTGGACCTTAAGGTGGGATCACATTAAGGTAGGTCTAGGTGGACCTTAAGGTGGGATCACATTAAAGTAGGTCTAGGTGGACCTTAAGGTGGGATCACATTAAGGTAGGTCTAGGTGGACCTTAAGGTGGGTATCATTAAGGTAGGTCTAGGTGGACCTTAAGGTGGGATCACATTAAGGTAGGTCTAGGTGGACCTTAAGGTGGGATGCCTTTCATTGATTTCATTTCAGATTATGTATCCCTGGCCTCAATAAAGCCCATACCCCAAACACTTACAAACATTTAGTACAATGATTCGAAAATCCTCAACATTAAAAATTAAAAGTTGATCATCTCTCCTTAATTTAGAGAAATTGTATCATTGAGTGAGCTCACATAGTGATTCCTTATGCTAAATTCTTTACTCATTCCTATTCTAAATAGCTCAATAAATTGGATGGAAGAAGGGTCAGACAGATGGAAGGATGGACAGACAGATGGACGGACAGACAGGTGAATGGGGATCCTCATTATGTGGACCAAACAAATTACAAGTTGAATCACTTCCACCAAATTTAAATAAAAAATAAAGAAATAAGAACATGTATACATGACAATGGAGTCTTTCACATGTGTTCTTTCTCTCGTAAAAATACAGAAATTGCCAAACACCACACCATAAATATATACCCTCCAACAATCAAAATATCCCAATTTTCCTAGTTACCAGTCAGTTGACAGGTCAGTTCAAAATACAGATGCCTATCTAATAAAACATAATTTTTTTGGAGGGAGTAAATGTACATTTAGGTGTCTCCAGATTCAATTGATTTTTGGCCATTATTAAATTTTTGCTGAAAAAGTTAAACCTGTCCTAGTGGAACATATTTGATACCTCTAAAAAGTGTTCCACTTGGAAGGTGTTCCACTTGTAAAAGTTTATTGAACATCAAGTCAGTTGGTCTAGGAACTCTGAGAGGTGGTCCACTAATAGAGGTGTTCCACTTCTAGGTGTTTCACTTTACAGGTTTCACTGTTCATATATTTTAAGAAATTTGGCTTGAGGGATGTGGGGTCAAGTATTAAACTAAATTACATTTTTTTCACAGGCATCAATATGTTGAACTGATTTTGAAGAAAATTTGCTGAATCTACGTTAAAAGTTTACCATATTTTCGTATTGTATGTCATCAAACTTCTGTAAAGCATAAAGACAAAACAATTCCTTTGAATATCATCTTTTATTACATCAAGAATCTTCTAATCACTACCACTTAAAGCCCTATGTAAAACTTACATATTTTCACGGGGCATTTCATATAATGTACATTCAAATGGAATCTGGGCTCACAATGGTATTTTTTCAGATATTGAAAATCTATTTTAAAGAAAAGATGGACATATAAGGAACTTTCAGATATAATTTTCCCAGCTCACCTTGTTTTCTGCATCAGACTTTGTCTGTTCGTCTTGCATACACTGCAATGTGGTTGTCATGGTAGCATCTTTCATCTGCATACATTCAACCTGTTCTTCCAGCTCCTGTAATACAATCGGAAACCCCACATCAACAAAACCCTTGGTACAATCGGAATACGATCGGAATTCAATGGTGAAAAATTAGACGATTTCATACCTTATTTCTCCTCTCCATATAATAATATACATGGAGTACAGGAAGAGAGGAAACAGATTTAAACTCTAAATTGTATAGAAATGCAATAAAATCTGACATTTATTCAAATTTTAGCGAGAAAAAAGTAAAATAATTGTGATCCGTCGGATTTTAAGTAGACGTCTTAACATCTGATTTTAAGCAAAAATTTTAAGGTCTTTTTACCTTATTTCTCCTCTCCTTTGCTTGTAGATTCTTCATCAACTCTTCCTTCTCTTCAATAAGTTTACTTGCATTATCTTCGTAAACCTGGAACATAAAATGTCAATTTAATAACCTGATAAAGACAATTAAATGATGAGAAAAATTTGTTAAAAGGCAAGTGAAATATTTAAACCACTTTAGCTTATATTGTAGTCTTACCCAGTGTGATCAAAATACAAAATGTTTTTTGATTACAAAAATTTGTTTTTCAAAAACTTTTTGACAGAAACATTGTGAACTTAAATCAATTGTCAATCTACAATCTATTTTATATTAAATTTACCGAAAAACAGAACTCGATAAAGTCTGTAAACAGATTTCATTTAAAAAATCAGCATAATGTGATTAATTAATTAGCAAATAGAGATTAATCTAGCAGCATAAATATGCTAAAATAACAGATAAAATAAATACAGGGTGTCCCGAAAGTATGCATCCCTCGGCAAACATATACCATGGTATGTGTCATATATCATTTTAAAGCTTATAAAAATTACATAGATTTGCCAAGATGGTTCAACTCTCCAATGTAAAAAGTGACAGGCATTTCAAAATTTAGTGTTTGGCCAAAATAAATTTCAAATTTACACCAAACTAAAAGTCAGAATGTACTCTCTTGACCATGTTAACAGTAGGAATTATTTTCAGATATGACCTTAAAATCCCTTTTAATAGGGGTGTGGAATTTTGTGATCCTCTTAAAACCTTTTAAGGCATTTTAGAAGAGTTTTCTTGGAGTATATACTCTCACTGTCGTCTTTTCCAACTTAATATCCATCCTACCCAAAAAGGATTGCCACATCTAACATGACCAAGAGAACACACATCCACTGTTAATTTGGTGTAAAACTGAACTAAATTTTGGTCAAACACTAAATATTAAAATGCCTGCAACTTTTTCTCATTTGAGAGTTGAACCATATTACTTGGCAAATCAATGTAACTTTGTATTAGCTTTAAACTGATATATGACATACAATGAAGACAATGGTATATGTCTACCTCGGGGGTTGGCCCATACTTTCATGACAACCTGTAGATCACCAAATATAACAGAGAGGTTTCGCACCCCATTTTAATTGAACAAATCGTATAAATATGGTGAATGCGTTATGAATCTTGGGTCTTTAAAAACATTGTGTGAAATCTCTCTAATGAGCCAAAATCAGTACCTTAATCTGTTCAACAGTTTTTTCCTGTGCCTCTTGTGTGGCATTATAGGCTTGTAACATTCCTTCTCTCTCTGATCTCAGCTCTTCCAGTTCATCGTTTAACTCCTTGAAATATGTAAAATTTTTAAATTTTATCAATTTGGAGAAGTTTCTGCTTTTTCATCAAAATTTCAACATTTGCAGCATTGTTTCATTTGGAGTGAATTATAACTCCTTCATCCAAGATAACAGGAGATTTATTTTGATATACAGGGGTTTCATTAGCAGCAGGCAACAGGCCTTTTCACTGGTTGTTTTCACAAAATCGCCTGTTGTTTTAAAGGACTTAACAACTTTTCCATGTTGGATTTATGGTTTCCATTAATTTTGCCTGTTGTTTTCATTTATTTAGCTTGCTGTGAGAAATCCTAGTGAAACCCCTGATATATGACTTTTAACTCATTCCTGTCACTGACAGTTACAGGCATGATTTATTTACCAAAATCAATAAATAGAATGAAGTTTCACACGTTTTATGTCTTAATGCCTGAACGCATGCTGTCTGACAGTTCAATTTAAATACAGCAATCTGACAATTGAAGATTTAAAATCTGACATTTTTTAATCCTTAATAAATCCACATTTCACAGCCACGTGTCAATGTGATTCTCACAAGAGTTAGATTAAGAGAAACTCTGCTAAATCAGAATAACTCTGATACATAATTTATCTCCAGATACTTCCATTTTAATTAATCTCCATCGATAAACCCATTTGAGAATTCTCATTTTAGGCATGTTTTGTAATGCAAACTAGAGAAAAGTGAGTGAAATCACCAAGGAATAAAATACCCAGGCAAGTAGTGAATACTCTAAATTGTATAGAAATGCAAGAAAATCAGGCAGTTCAATCAAATTAGAGAAAAGGTGTGAAATAGGTATGAGCAGACGGACATTTTATACTGGCTTATGCCCTGTAATATCTGGCCGATTGCTGTAAATAATACATGAGTTTTACCCATCAAAGGATGCTGATACAACCCACTGGTAACAAAAATAAATACAGTGAAACCTTTAAATAAATTTGACATATTCCATAAAAACTTGTCTCTCAATTGAACACTTTTTCACTTCCATGTATGAGGTTTGGACATGTACAAGAATCATTAAGAATATAAACGTTCCTCTTTTTGTGAAGGATGGAACAAACCCTTCTTGCTCTTAAAGTAAAATCAGAGGTCCGTTTTAAATATTTTCAGTCAATTTTGGTTTATTAAGATTGAGATGTATAATGACTGCACACAAGATCAACTAAATGAGCTCTCAAAATTCAATGTCTCCTTTTCCTTATGCAATCCATGACTTAAACATATTACATAATATCCTTACAAATAAATTAAAATATTCATGAAGGAGACTATAAATAGTACCTATGTATACCTTAGCTCAATTATTGACTTTGATCGATTATGCACTTAGTATTTGTCTCAAATAACAGATCAGTGTTCTCCGCAAGATTTTTTCTAAAGTGGGTGCAAATTCTCATTTTCACAATTCAGAATGAAATTGGTAAAATATGCCCAATTTCCATGATTTTTCTCATTTTCAAGTAGGTGTAAATGGATTTTCAGTCATTTTTTGAGTCATTCAATTTTCTGTTTGTCCCCATGTGATGGTGGAAAATGAAGATATAACAGGACAGTGCCTGGCATCCTCCTAAGCAGGTATCCAAAATCCGTACTTCCTTCTTCCCCCTGCTATAACCAACTTGGAAGCACCCGATTAAAGTGTCTCACATATTCGATCAAAACTTGCCATGCAAACATGTTAGTCTACTTTACTGGCCCCCCTTGCTGTAACAAGGAACCCAAAACACATTAAAACGTAAACATAAACCAATTAGTCACTTCACTATGAAAGTGGGGGTGTTAGCAAAGTGTATTAGCAGAATACACTGTGTGCATGGACTAACACAATATCAGTGGTCATTTACTGTGTCAACTTAGTAACCCTTGCATATCGTGCTCACTCAAGTATTGAATAATTTTTTTATGATCTAAATGTTTGTGGTTTATAAAAAAATGTGATATATTTTAGTTAGAAATACATTAATTAATATATTCATTCAAACAGCACTAGAATGCGGGAAGAAAGAGCAATGGTGACAAAATGCAGACAGAATTTTCCGTAAGGGTTTCAAACATTTCTGAACATCATACATGTACTTCATGTGTACTGTTATTTTTAGTGCTGTATTTATATAGATATAATTTCATATATTAAAATCATATTTTCCAGCAATGACTTCAAATTCGGAACAACACCCATATCACATTTTCTTCAATAACTCAAAACATGTGTAAACATTGACCATGTGCATTTAAATTCAGATTTCACGAGCTCTTTCCTATTCGAGTACCTCATACACCCCTGCATGGATTTGAGTTGGATTCGCCTTTTATACGTGAGCCGACACACTCGCAAACGCTGATTGGATAAAGATTGCGAGAATCTTTAAACTGAATCATGTGATCTTATTATGCGCAATGGCTTATACATGATTTCTGTCGCAGTGTTGCGACAGCCAATCAGATTCCGAGTTCTTAATGGGGGAAATGCTAACTGGTTATTGCAGAGGGTAAAAAGAAAAAATATATTCTTGATTTTGAAGCCCTGTGATTGGAGAATGGTGTCTGGCAGCAGAGAGATATTGGACAACTATAGATTTGTTTTGTGAAGATTGGCTCCATTGGTTTAATTTCCTGCTTCCTCATGTTTTCTGATATAAAATGTGCATGTTCAGAAAAAAACGTGTTAATCTATTACCTTTATTTTAGCTTCACTGTCCCCATCAGATGTTTCTGGCTTACATTCGAGTTCAGCGACTTTTTTTGTCAACTCTGAAATAAATATAATAGAACACTCATTAGACACATTTGTGTTTTATTACTTTCATTGGTTCAAACAGAAAAACTTATAATGTGAAAAAGTCCACATTCTTGTGTTTGGAGCCCTGTATTTGGGGGATGGAGAAAATATACCAAAGCTATGAATGAAAATTAAAGGTCTGGTGACATTACAAGCAAGATGGTTTCAAGCTAAAAATAATGCTGTCATTGGACATCTTCAAGTTCCAAGGTGGTTTAACACACCGTGACCTTAGATGCATGCTTTATTTTACTGTCCTGTTACTGTGTGGTGGTTCATACGATAAGATTTTCACAGTTAATTGTGAACGTCATACTTTTCAAACAAGGCATTAACATGACAAAATGTCACCACCTAAAACAATTTGGTCAATTTAAAGCAAGTTGGAAAATACCTTTTGACCTTAAGAAGGTTTGATTTGAACTTCTTAGAACATGTAGATGATTTTGAAAAAAAAATTCGTCAATTTGAAGCAAGTTGAAAAAATACCTCTTTGACTTTTTTTGACATTGAGAAGGTCATTGAAGGTCAAATGTCAAATGTAAAGTCAGATTTGAACTTCTGAGAACATGTAGATAGATGATTTTGAAAAAAAAATTAAGTAAATTTGAAGCAAGTTGAAAAAAGACCTTTTTGACCTTGAAAAGGTCATTGAAGGTCAAATGTCAAATCTAAAGTCAGATTTGAACTTCTGAGAACATGTAGATGATTTTGAAAAAAAAATTAGTCAATTTGAAGCAAGTTGAAAAAAGACCTTTTTGACCTTGAGAAGGTCATTGAAGGTCAAAGGTCAAATCTAAAGTCAGATTTGAACTTCTGAGAACTTGTAAAAGTCAAATTTGAACTTCTGAAAAGATGTAGATGATTTTGAAAAAAAAATTTGGTCAATTTGAAGCAAGTTGAAAGCAGACCTTTTTGACCTTTTTTGACCTTGAGAAGGTCATTAAAGGTCAAATGTCAAATCTAAAGTCAGATTTGAATTTCTGAGAACATGTAGATGATTTTGAAAAAAAATAGTCAATTTGAAGCAAGTTGAAAAAAGACCTTTTTGACCTTTTTATTTGACCTTGAGAAGGTCATTGAAGGTCAAATGTCAAATCCAAAGTCAAATCTAAAGTCATATTTGAATTTCTGAGAACATGTAGATGATTTTGAAAAAAAAAATTAGTCAATTTGAAGCAAGATGAAAAAAGACCTTTTTGACCTTTTTTGACATTGAGAAGGTCATTGAAGGTCAAATGTCAAATCTAAAGTCAGATTTGAAGGTCAAATGTCAAATCTAAAGTCAGATTTGAATTTCTGATTTAGTCAATTTGAAGCAAGTTGAAAAAATACCTTTTTGACCTTTTTTGACTTTGAGAAGGTCATTGAAGGTCAAATGTCAAATCTTAAGTCAAATCTAGAGTCAGATTTGAATTTCTGAGAACACGTAGATGATTTTTAAAAAATATTATAGTCAATTTGAAGCATATTGAAAACAGACCTTTTTGACCTTGAGAAGGTCATTGAAGGTCAAATGTCAAATCTAAAGTCAGATTTGAATTTCTGAGAACATGTAGATGATTTTGAAAAAAAAATTAGTCAATTTGAAGCAAGTTGAAAAAATACCTTTTTAACCTTTTTTGACTTTGAGAAGGTCATTGAAGGTCAAATGTCAAATCTTAAGTCAAATCTAAAGACAGATTTGAATTTCTGAGAACACGTAGATGATTTTGAAAAAAAAATTTAGTCATTTTGAAGCAAGTTGAAAACAGACCTTTTTGACCTTTTTTGACCTTGAGAAGTTCATTGAAGGTCAAATGTCAAATCTTAAGTCAGATTTGAATTTCTGAGAACATGTAGATGATTTTGAAAATTTTTTTAGTCAATTTGAAGCAAGTTGAAAAAAGACCTTTTTGACCTTTTTTGACTTTGAGAAGGTCATTGAAGGTCAAATGTCAAATCTTAAGTCAAATCTAAAGTCAGATTTGAATTTCTGAGAACACGTAGATGATTTTGAAAAAAAAATTTAGTCAATTTGAAGCAAGTTGAAAACAGACCTTTTTGACCTTTTTTGACCTTGAGAAGGTCATTGAAGGTCAAATGTCAAATCTAAAGTCAGATTTGAAGGTCAAATGTCAAATCTAAAGTCAAATCGAAAGTCAGATTTGAATTTCTGAGAACATGTAGATGATTTTGAAAAAAATTTAGTCAATGTGAAGCAAGTTGAAAAAAGACCTTTTTGACCTTGAGAAGGTCATTGAAGGTCAAATGTCAAATCTAAAGTCAGATTTGAACTTCTGAGAACATGTAGATGATTTAGAAAAAAATTGAAGTCAGTCTAAACAGTATTTGTTAAGTTATAGGAAGTTGTAAGAAATTGTTACAGACGCCGGACGCCAACCGCCGGACGCCAACCGCCGGACGCCAACCTCCAACCGCCGGACGCCGTCGCAAAAAAACGGAGACCATAACAATATGTCACCACCATGTCACCACTTTTGGTGGTGACATAAAAAGGTCTAAAATGGTTTCTCAAGTCATGAAAAGTAATATTTGAATGATCAAACTTTACTTCAAAACTTAACATGGAGCCTTTAACTTTATGATTCAACAGCACTATATCTGATACAAGTTCTTCAGAAAAACCTAAAGAATATTTTTTACTTATTGCTTGGTATTCTTAAGAGAATTCGTCATGAATTATAACTTCCCATCCTTTCAGGAAACAAGATTGATCAACATTAAACCCACCTCCTACTGTTGTTCCATTATTTTTACACCCTCCCTTATTATAGCAGCTTACCATCACATTTCTGTTTAGTCTTCTGTAACATAACAGTCTGCTTCTTAACAAACTTCACCAAGTCCTCTCTGGGGAGGCTGTCCAACTGAAATAAGACCAGGAATATATTTTGAACAAGGTAATTAAAAATTAAACTTTCAATTGATTTTGGGCCAAAATGGTCAAATGTGAACCTCACCCCGGAATCTTTTTAAATATGAATCCCCTTGGGAAAAACTGGCTACAGGCCTGAGAGCATGGGTCAGATTCTGAGGATATAGAATCAAGGACTGTACTTACTTTAGAGGCGCCACCTTTCCCTCCGTCATCCTTCTCCGCCATTTTGATCACCAGATGTCCTCACTGGTGTATTATGGGATATAATCAATCTTGATGTATTCTTTAATTATTACATTGTTACCTGAAAAAGTAAATTAGGCCATATGAAGTAGATTCTCTGTTTTGTGTCCCCTTGCTTGCACGATTTTGAGTAAATCAGAAAAAACAAACACATCCAAAAAGCAATCAAAAGGGTCTGAAACTACCATTGCAAGTTGTGTTTTTTCTTGAGTTTGTGTTGGTTTTCCTTGAACCCTTGCATGATTTGGATTTTGCAAGGACGCAAAACAAATAATATACTTCTTATGGCCTTATGAATTATTTGTATCTGTGACCATATATTTCAGATAATTAGTTTTATGTGCAATAAACCTTCAGCCTCTTGTAGTTTAAGGAGTTTCAACTAGATGTTGTTTTTTTCAAAAATAACATGGCAGACAAGGAATATTGATTTCCAGGGTTATATATCAGTCATGTCGTGATTTAAAATTGAACAGCAACAAAAAATTTAACAGCCACCATTTTTCCAATGTTGAGTTTTGGTCGTATTACCAAAGATAATAGTTCAAATCTTTTGAATTGCTATTATGTATTTACAAGCCAATTATGACATTAATAACATTTTTATCGTCGTCCTCGCTGAAGGTCAATGTTGTCGATATTGATATTGCTAGCAGCGTATCAGCCACTTAATATTCAGGCACTGAACAAATTGTTTGGAGATTAAAAAATATGGAGTTGGAACTGGTGTTGTCGCGATAAATCAATTAAAGCCTCGCAAGAATTCAATCCATGCGAGAAAAAGAACATGGCTTCCCCTAGTTCAACAAGTTAAACCCAATACCACGACTTTAATTTTTTATTAATATGAATGGTCTTGTTGCCATGATTGGGTTTTACTTCTGTGCTATGCTTTCATTGGTTGCAAATTCTTACTATCAGTTATTAACTTAAACACGCATGGAATTTCAATTTCATGCGCTGCCATAGGCCACCACTAATTTTTTTGCATCAAGGGCCGAATAGGCACGGACGTTAAACCTAGGGCGGGCCACAAGATATGTCAGATAAGAAATAAGGCCCAGACTAGGTTGAACTTGTTGAACTAGGCTTCCCCTAGATAGGAAATAAGAGCAAATAAACAACAAGGTGTCGAAGCTACCCCAAAATGGTGTCAACGTTACACCCCATCGCCCTAGTTGGAACCCTGGGAGCCAATCCTCCTTATCTTCATGGCAGAAAAGCATCAAAAGTAAGAGGCCCAGGGGCGGATCTGGGAACCAACAAGGGGGGGCCAAAACTTATGGTCTGAGAAAAAAAATTCCTCATTTGCGCGGGAAAAGATTTTGGGCCCCTGTAAGCAAAAAGTGGGCCCAAATTTTAAAATTTTGAGGCCCATTTTCTTCAAAAATTTGGCCTAAAATGAAAAAAAAGTTAACATACTATTTATGACAACACAGACCCACTTTTCGATTTTTTTTGGCCCAAAATTTTTTTTTTTCTGGGCCCACCCAGATCCGCCAGTGAGGCAACATATTTTATAAGCAATCAAAGATTTTTGTGCCTATAATATTCATATATTTTCAAATACTTTAGCAGTGTGGTATTTTGATTAGGTTAGTTGACGAAAATAAAAACATCGAAACAAAATCGACGAAAATTTATTTTGAACCTGCGATTTTCAGGACAAAAATTCAACCAATACTCAAACTCTTGCAAATTATTTATATCGATATTGAGGTGTGTTAAAGTAAACATATATTCATCATAATTTACAAATGCATTTCTTATTTAACAGAAACGAAATAAAACAGTTTACCTGTAAACGTAGTGAACTTTTTATTTACCGGAAGTGGACGTGGTGCTGACCTTGACCTTCTGCTAATTGAACATCCGGTTCTGGGAATTTCAAAACAAATGTTGATTCAAAAGTTTTAAAAGTTAGATTATATATCCAACCAGCACTTACTCAGCCATCGAAATACAATGAATACATTTGTCCTTATACAAATGGTAAGTAATGAACATTTCTGAGTTTTATAATGATTGTCCAATCTCCTCATTGAGCCTGAAACATAAAACCTCTAAAATCATGTGCATCTCGCCTGATTTTGACTTCCAGTACCTGGACTTCCGATTCCACTTCAATGTTTAACATATAAAGTCACAGATAGCATAGATTGTGGGGATATACTCAATAAAAAGAGAACGACATAAACATGTTGACTTACCTAGAACAAAGCAAAATAAGCAATTGAATACTGTAAATACAATAACAAAAAAGGATCATATGTAACAGGGCGCAAAGGGTTTGCCTCATTGCCCTTATAAAAGTTCCGACCTTGAAATTCCGAAAACAAATGGTTACAAACCATTGCACAACCATTGTTCCAACCATCGCTGTAATGATTGCCAACCATTGGGATGCAACCATTGCAATTGTGGTTGCAAATCATTGAAAGTGTTTCAATGATTTGTAACCATTACAAATGGTTGGCAGGTTTGAATGATTTTCTTGCAACTAAATGCAACCATTTTCACTTTGAGAAAAATCCATAATTGTGAAGGACTAGATTTAATGTAAAAGTCAGTATTCTAAGTTGCACCTAATAAATGATAAACAATAACCATGCCTGTTTAAATTGCATTGGCATGTATACGATCATCCAAGACTGACATCCTTGGATTTTTAACACCTCGCAATTGCAATGACATGTCAAAAACAATTATTAGTACCAACAAAAAGTTCCAAAAAGCAAGCCCAGTATTCTGATTAAGAACCCCTATTCTAACTACTGAAAATGGATTCTAGTAATACTCACCAACATGAAACTCAATCAACTTGAGTTCTTCACAGAGAAAACAGAGAATTTCAGCAAGGGTACATTGACTTTAACATGGTGACATACATGCAGGATATATGATGGTATCCCAATGCTAAGTCATTAACCAATGAAGTATGTCCCCATATAAATCAATGTACCCTTGCTAAAATCCTCATTTTCTCAGAAGAACTCAAGTTGATCGAGTCTTAAAAAAAGATCTGTGTAGGTGTTGGTGAGTATTACTAGAATCCATTTTCAATAGTAAGAATAGGGGTTCTTAAACAGGACATTAAAGCTTAACTATGGCCTTTTTGAATTTTTTGTTTAGTACACTATGAGATACTGTTTTTGTCTTAAACACTGACTAAGGTTTTCAAAATGATTTTGAAAATAAAATTTGTCAAAGCGCGAGTACACTAGTTAATGCCATTTCCTGACACTTCATGTTAAAATTAAAAAACAGTTCAACATTAATATTAGCTACAGCAACAAAAAGACTACATGAAGATGCATGTAGAAATAATCTTGATTTAATTCATTAAATAATCAAAATTTAATCAAAGTGATATCATATTTGAAGTCTACATGTAAAATTGCATCTAAAAATGTGGTTTAAAAAAGTATTTATCAACTTTGAAAAAATAATTTTCTTTGAAAATGTGACCATTAGGTCGGGGGTATTCCCTATTGACCCCATGTTATAAAATCACTTAAAGTGAAATATCATTTATTGTGTTAGACAGCCACACAATATTTTCTTTTACTGGACATATTTTCAATTGTATAATTATGCGACACATAAGGGTGACACGAAAAATGATCCACTTAATCTGATGAATATTCAACTTTAAGGGAACCTTCTTTTATATTACCTGCCATGTTAATTTACCAAAGAGTTTTGCTATTATATAATAAAGAGTATTTTTGGGAACATAAAATGAATACCCTGTTGGATTACAAAGTTTAGAAAACTGATTTGACTCATTAGAGATATACACAATCATGATTTTTTTTAAGAATACAATTGATCACACCTTTCCCCCTCCCCAACCCCTGGCTTAGCCAATGCTAATGACAAAACCAAGACATGTTGAATACATATAGAAATCTGAAAATGCCCATGCTTTAAAACAACTACATGTACATAGTTACAGTATATTTCTGCTATTATAGAAAAGAAACATAAGAAAAATGATATTCAAAAATTTCAAGCCAATGACTTTTCTTAGAATTGGTAATATCAAATAGTTTACAGTGCTTCATTTAAATGTGTTGCATTGTCGGCCATTTTGGTCGGATGGCTAATTAAAGTCAGCCATTTTGGTCGGATAGCTAATTAAGTCGGCCATTTTGGTTGGATGGCTAATTACTTTGTTATTGTTATTATTTGCATTGACAGTTGTCATGCCAACTGGTAAATGATAATTTGAAAATAATTTTACAAAAGCTGTTTCCGGATATTAACATTTTTTGCGATTTTTGCTTTATATGATAAAAAGTTTTAGCTAATTTAAAAAATGAGAATTTACCATGTGGCATTGATTTCTTAATCTTGGGTCTAATTCCTCTTAGAGCTCATTTAATAAAATCCTGAAAAGTGAAATATCTTGTACTGAAAAGATGATATTTGACACTCACTTAATCCAAAGAATAAATAAAATGCATGATGAACTTTTAAAGAAGTCTTATGTCCTTAAACTTCAACTAAAATTAGCAAGATAAGTGAATTACTAATCTTAAGTTTGATCTTCATAGTGTGAAAATCAAAATAAGCAAGATAAGTAGTTTTCCCAATCAAATAAAAACCTAAGAATCATAAATCTTTTCAATGAGTCAGATGTATAAAATAAGCTTGATCGGAGACTATGTTCTCAATAAGTTATACAAGTAACAAAACTTAAAAGGCCGTCAGACTCTTTGTTATTTTAAGACAAATATAATCAGAGCAATCAGACATCCCAATCAAATTCTAGTTCTTAACATTTAGTAAAACATTACACAAGGTTTGATGCCTGTTTTATCTACTATTTCTGCCTTCAATTTTATCTTATATTCAGGCTCTTTGCATCACAAAATTAAAATATTTTTTTATTTTTATAATTATACCATTTATTCCAATATTCCAAAGCATTCAAATCTAACTTCAGTCCAGACTTATATTTGATTAACCCCCCCCCCCCTCCCTTCCACCAGTTCATCAATCTAGATATCAGCAAAAACTAAACAAAGACTCAACAGTAAATGTTATTCAATAATGTTTAACTTGCACATAGTTTTGAATTATGCCCAATTCTCCCTTTCGCGATTCGCTCTTTGAATCAGAACGTTCGCAAATATGTACTGAAAAAGCACTCAAAAAGGACAAAATTTGATTGGTCAATATTTTCTCACTATGCATTTCGCGTAGCGATTTCCGTGACCCGAAAGTTCTAAATCAAACTAATTACGCAATTTTGTGTTTACCCCCGCACGCTAAATAAAACAATGACAACATCGGAAGTATTCTTCTTTGTCATTGCTTTAATAGTCAGTATACCGAGTTTAATCAATAAAAGATTGTACAATGAACATCAAATTCGGAAACGAGTACTATAGATTTGCTTTCGGACCACTGAACAGAGTGACCTAGATAATAGCGACGCTTCTTCTTTGGTCTACTGCTCAGTTATTTGTTTGTTTTCAACGTAACTCTATGATGAAATTTGAAGATGAATACTTTTATTCAGTTGTTGCATCGATGTTGCAGTTTGTAGTGCGGTAAGATTGGCATGAAAGTATTGAAAGTCGAATGGAATTGTTTTTTCAAATATGCCGACTAGTCAACTGATCATGTGACCTTCTCTTCCGGAATATTTACTCACTTTTCAATCATCGTTTTCACCACGCTATGAATCAATACAATGAAAAAATAGCTGTTATATTAAGATTAATAAGAGATCAATCGTTTCTAATAATTTTTTCGGTACCCTCGTACGGGAATATGAACGAATATATCGTTTGAAAAATAGGTGTGAAAATCCCCATGTAAAACCTATGAGGGTTAAAACAAGGAAGTATAAATTTGTTCCTCCGCGAACTGCATCATGGGAAATAATTTAACCTTATAAGGAACGATTTTCGCCTCTCCTCTTTTGAAGAGGGAACAGCGATTTCAAGAATTGTCCTTACCTTAGTCTAAACTAATATTTGTTTTAACCCTCCTCCCCCTTTTACCAGTACATCAATCTAGATATCAACAAAAACTAAATAAAGACTCAACAGAAACAGAAATAAAGACTTATTTCAATTTCAGTAAATGTAATGGCCTAGTCACATAGCCCGGCCGATGTCCGGCATCGGTAGAGCTCGGTGGATTTTTTTGGTGCCACCGAGCTCTCCTCATCGGAAGCAGAGCTCGGTGACGTGAACGGACTCCGTCCGGACAACTTCAGGTACTATACTTTCCAAGGCTCTGTCCCACATCGGCCGGAGCTCGGCCGGTGTCCGTTAAAAAAACCTCGTCCTCTGGTTGTCTCAGATGCACGGGACACCGACCGATACTCGGCCGTGCACCGGCCGACGTGTGTTCTGATGTGGTTACGATGGGGCTGCGATGAGGGAGCTCGGTGAGAGCCCGGTGAAATTTAACTCCGAAGTTAAAATTTCACCGAGCTGCCACCGATGAGGTTTTAAGCAACAAACGCCACGGATGTCCGGCCGGTGTCCGGCTGGTGTTCGGCCGAGTTCGGTGAAAATTGCATCATTGGCTCATCGGAACCTCATCGGCCGGGCTATGTGACTAGGCCATTATTCAGTAATGTTTAAGTTGCACACAATTTTGAATGATGCCCAATTGTTCAGTCCTAACTTCAATCCAAACTAATGTTTGATTTTGGTTTGATTTGATTCTACCAGAACATCAATCTAGATATCAACATAAACTGAAATAAAGACTTCAATTTCAGTAAATGTTATTCAGAAGTCTCTGTTTTACTTGCACATAACTATGAATTATGCAAAAGCACTCAGCCCTGACTTCGGTCCATGGGCTCTTTTTTT